TATTATACAATAACAACCAATCAGGTTGTAACAATAAAGTCCAATCACAAGCGTTCCCTCTCATGGAACTGGATGGTAGGTGATTGGATGGTTCTTCCTGGGCTACCAATAGGATTGGAGGGATTAGGATCCTTGCCCAGGACGAAGCTTTACATGGTGTATGAATGTGTGAGTTTACATACATGCAGTTGAATACACTACAAGTTCCATTCAAGAGAAAGAAGCGATAGGTCAGAGATAGAAAACCCCTGGTACACATGCTGACAGTGACACACCAGACCATATTCCCTGGCAGGAAGGGCCAGATCTCTGGCCAAGAAACCAAGACACTGGCAGCACTGCCAGCCCCCCAGTCTGGGAGAAGACAACAGGCTTGGCTTTTGCCCACGATGGCCTCAGAGATTCACATAGTACTAGCCAAATCCCAGGTGAATCCTGGATGTGGTTGGCGCACCACTGGGGCTGGCTTGGTCCAAGAGTGTCTAGCTAAGTATAACCCCCATTTCCCCCTGCCCCAAATTGTCATCTTCATGGTAGAGGCTGCATTTTTTCAGCACTTGGTCAAAAAAGGTTGCTTAGATGGTTTCAGACCCTGCAGCATGTTCTTGAGCTGGATATGTATGTATATTGGGCACCTAATAAGTCTGCCAGTTGGCTTACTCTAAAAAGATGACAGCAGGGGATTTCCTTTACCTCCCCTGAGTGAGGATGGAGAGGAAGAGAAGTAGAAGAAGAGATTGGATTTATACCCTGCCCTTCACTTGGAGTCTCAGAGCGGCTTACAAACATAATAAAATCACATTTTAAAACCATTAAAACCATTCCTCCTAACCCCCCCATCATTAAAGCAATTAAAACTAGAGCTAAAATAGATAGGAAAGCAATTAAAATGCTGGGCAGGAAGGAAGGCTCACTGACTGAACACCAAATGAAACAGAAAAGTCTTCACTCACTGATGGGAGATGGCAACAGAAGCAGACATTAATGAAGAAGAAGAAGAGAAGAGATTGGATTTATATCCCACCCTTCACTCGGCATCTCAGAACAGTTTACAAACTCCTTTCTCTTCTCCTCCCCACAACAGACACCCTGTGAGAGAGAATACCTCTGACAGAACTATGGCTTGCCCAAGGTCATCCAAGTAGCTGCAAGTGGAGGAGTGGGGAATCAAACCCAGTTTTCCCAGATTAGAGTCCGCACACTTAACCACTACACCAAACTGGCTGGTATCGGATTGGGGAGATGCATAGGGTGAATTTGGACATTATTTCTGAGGCCTAGTCTACACATACAGCAGAATGGGGTCCATTCTATTATCTCAGGACTCTCTCACCCCATTCTGATGCCTATGTAGACCAGGCTTTACTCTGATTTACTGACGTGATTGAAGTGAGGATAGATTGAAATTAAGACTGCAAAATTACACATTTACTTTTAATGAAAGCCCATTGCTAAATATATATATCTTCTATGGTATGACTTGATAGGCTTGCCAAGTCCCCCCGGGGGGGCGGGGAAACCCCCGCCGGAGAGGCCCATTACCTGCCGCCGGCGGATCGCACACTCCCGGAGCAGCGCTGGAGTTCCCCGCTCCAGCGCCACAGGGACTTGAGCACATGTTTACCCAGTCAATGTGAGGATAGTTGAAGTTTCCCAGTATAATAACATTATCTGCTTTAGTCACCTCCCTTATTTCTTTCTCCATCTCAAGATCAGCGTCAAGGGTTTGATCAAATGGGCAATAGTACACCCCCACTTTTAAGTAATCCTTAGGACTCAGTATTTCCACCAATATCACTTCTGTTGGAGAGTTAATTCCTCTCTTGATTTTGCCCATTTGCAGGTTAGCACCTGCAGCAGGCCTTGCTCAGATGAGTGAAGCTATCATGGTAGAACATAAGAGCCCTGCTGGATCAAGCCAATGGTCCATCTAGTCCAGCATCCTGTCTCACACAGAGGCCAACCAACTTCTCTGGAGAGCCAACAACAGGACATAGAGGCCAAGGCCTTCCCCTGATGTTGCCTTCTGGCTCTGGGAGGTTCCCTTCAGTCCCCGTGGCTAGTAGCCATTCATAGTTTTATTCGCCATGAATCTATCTAATCCCCTTTAAAGCTGTTTATTCCTGTGGCCATCATTACATCCTCTGGCAGGGAATTCCACATTTTAATCACTCTCTGTGTAAAGTAGTATTTCATTTTTTCTGTCCTGAACCTACTGCTCATCAGCTTCACTGGATGCCCTTAAGTTCTAGTATTTTGGGAGAGGGAGAAAAATTTCTCTTTGTCAACTCTATCTCATGAATAGATTTATAAACCTCTATATCATGCCCCGCCCATCATCTCTTTTCTAAACTGAAAAGTCCCAGACTCTACAGCCTTTCCTCATATGGAAGGTACTCCAACTCCCTATTCATCTTGGTTGTCCTCCTCTCTACTTTCTCCAGCATAGGGGGAGAAACAGTCACACAGATATGTACACATGCATGCATACACAATGAATGTGCATAGGTAAAAACTCAGGGAGACATTCTTTTTCCAGAGGAGCAGGGCCTAAGGTTTGAACGGTCAAAAGCAGTACTTTGATGGTTGCTCTCAGAAACAATTGCTTGAAATCCAGACCCATAGAAGCCACTATACAACTTTGCAACATATTAGTAAGATTAGGCTTTTTATGGTTGCAGCAATTTCCAGTGAAACCTCCTCTTGACGAGAGCTAGGGTTGCCAAATCTGGTTTGGAAAATACCTGGAGACTTTGGGGGTGGAGCCAAGAGAGGGCGGGGTTTGGGGAGGGGAGGGGCCTCAGCCTGGTCCAGTGCCATGGAGTCTCCCCTTCAAAGCAGCCATTTTCTCCAGGGGAGCTGATCTCTGTCAGCTGGAGATCAGTGGTCAAAGCGGGAGATCTCCAGGCCCCACCTGGAGGCTGGCGACCCTAACGAGAGCTGTGACAATATGGTAAAAATAGCCTGCTTTGTGAAACTTACAGTGCAGCTCTATGGAGAGCTGCTCAGTCAAAGCCCAGTTGATTTTAGCAGCGTCAGTGTAGCACAGACTCAAGCAGCCACCCACATGCTTGCCTGTATGGGGGAAACTGAGCCACGTGTCGCGATTGAAAAACAGGGAAGCCCAAGAGGATAAAGAACTTACGAGGAATGAATTGGTTGCAATGTTAACTGGAGAAACAGAAGGGGGAGGAAACATTTGGGAATATCAGGTCATTTGCTGTTTGGGTAACCTAAGCTTCTTCCTATTAGGGGGAAATGGGCATTTAATTCAAGCTAGCAGAGGGAACACTCTACACGTGACTGAGCGTATCTGGTGCACACTAAGCACACAAAATACTAATTGAGTAAAGTAATACAACTTCCCTTTTTCCCTCCACTTGACTTTCCCTATAAAAGGAAGTTCTGGATCTCACACCTCCCAACTCTGTTCCTATCACTTTCCTCACATTCTTCCTGCTGTGTCTATTCCTTCCTCTGTCTCTGCTGTTTTGAGACTTCACTGCTTCCATTTGTTATTTTATCATTTGTTTACTCCCAAATACTGATTCAGTCTAATTTCTTGCTGAGGTTCCTCCCCCCGCCCTTTTAATGGCAGGGCTTCCATGCTTTTAAAAAACAAACATCACAGATACACATTTTATTAGGACCAACTGCAATATCAGCATGCGAGGTATTTAAGTTATTGAGAACACTTCTGTTTTTTAAAAAGGAAGATGTTGGATCAGGGCATGGCATGACAAGAAAGGCTCCAGTCTTCAGTTGCAGTCATAAAATAGGATGTATGTCATCTACATCCAGAGATTTGGGCCTTTACAAGCATGCTGCAAGACAAACCCACCCACCCACTTAATCATCCAGAAAACTTGCTCTTTGTGTTGTGGTGTGTTTTCCCTAATAAAAAGAATCACACAAATGTTTTTGGTCAAAAACATTTGCCTGTAGATCATGAGAGCTACTTGCAGTATTATGCTTTTGAAAACTACGTTGACAGCTCTTCCCCTCCCAGTACAGTTACGTGGAAAATAGCACTTTATTATTGATCTCCATGCGGCTATTAAAAGCAAGGGAGCCCTGCCTGAGCAGAAGGCAAACATACAAAACGTACAGAAGATCATTACTTCATTGAAGCCCAATATTACCTACTTCGACAGGTAGCGGCTTCCCAAGGTCGCAAGGAAAGCCACTGCCCTAACCTTGCTGGTGCTACCCAAAATGCATCTTAAACCAGAGGACTTCAGGAGTGAACCAGCAGCCTTGCATGTGTACAGTGTGTGGTCCCCTTTCCCCCACTGGCAACTTCTACTGTCAAATGGATTTACACATTAACACATGGAATTCACTGCCACAGAAAGTGGTGGTGGCTACAAGCATGGACAGCTTCAAGAGAGGGACTGGATAAACATATGGATCAGGGGTCCATCAGTGGCTATTAGCTGCAAGGTATAGCTGGAACACTGTGAGGCAGTGATGTTCTGTATCCTTGGTGCTTGGGGGAGGGGCAACAGTGGGAAGGCTTCTGGAGTTCTGGCCCTGCTAGTGGACTTCCTGATGACACCTGGGGTTTGGCCACTGTGTAACACTGAGTATTGAACTAAATAAGCCATTGGGCTGATCCAACATGGCTTCTCTTATGTTCTTATGTTCCTTTTCTAGCAAACAAAGCCACCTTCACGCCATTGCCAGTTCCGAGTGGCCCCTTTTCTCTCTTTCATGCCACACAGACAACCTTCGGGCAACAGCAGATCTACCGCAACTTGGCAAGCCACGGCTTTCTCACAATCCTGCCCAGGCTTTGTCTTCCCATCCCAAGACCATTTAAACAGCCACCAATCAAGAGCCCTAAGAGCAGATTCGAAGCCAGCTAGCCAATCATCTAAATGAACTTGTAGTCTTCCGCCTTCCTTCTCTTGGGACGCAATGAATGCTGGGAGTTGTAGTCATTTGCCTTCACGGTGGTTATTTTGCCTCCATCTAGTGGTAGCCCTTGAAAGAAACCGGAAAGCGGGCTGGGGGGGCAGGGGGAGGGATCTACATTGTGGGGTCTTCGCGGTTCCAGCTGCTTGGGATCCCGTCGCTTTGCTCGTCCCATCATGGCTGGTTCGCTGAGATTTCTTAGTCCGCTTCTGGGTTGGAGATTCGCTGCTGCAACAAAGCCCCTTTACTCCAGTGGGTAGGTACAAAGCCTCAAGGGATCTGCCTCCAAGGTCCAATGGGGACACCTTGGAGCCTGGGACTAGGTGGTGGAAAAAGGCAAAGAGGATCAGCAGGGTCTTTTTTAAAAAAAAGTTGTTCTTTTCCCACTGCGGAGGGAGATAACAGTAGATCTGCTTAGGGCTGGCATACCCCCCCCCCCCACCTCAGGGCTTCTGTCCCTTTAATAGCTTCTTGTCAGAGAGAAATTCAGTTGCTAAGATTCATCCTTTAATTGCGTCTTTACTTCATTAATTGCATTTTAAAAATCACCTCTTGTTTCCAGGCAACTCAGAGTTCATTCATCCTCACAACAACCCTGTGATGTAGGCAAAGCTGAACGAGAATGACTCATCTGAGGTTGCATGACAATATGCGTCTCCTCAGACTTAATTTAAGAATTACTCTAATCACGCCGCAACACTGGATGTCTTTTCATTTTTTGTGAATAAATTTCTGTCGGACATTGCGCTGTTTAAAAACTCTGATCTCTTAGCCATCGTGAGATGCAAGACTCTTCTCTAGACCAAGGGGTTATGGGGGCGGGAGTCCCAACTGAGAACATGTGCTGTAAAAAATGGCCCCTGATTATATGCAGAGTGTATTTCAGTGACACTGAACATCCACAGACATTTCTTGCACATCCAAGATTTGGAGGCCAGGTTTCCAGCTCAAAGGATTTAGCATGTGGCAGGCGTGAACCCCCTACCATTTAATCCTGGAGCCATTTCAAATATTGAGTTGCTTTCCTATGGTTACTTGGTGAGAAATGCACTCTGCACATGTTTGAGGGTGATCTCTCAATTTAGTGCTATTTATTTATGCTATTAGGATGTGGAATGGTATAGTGTAGTCCAGTCTTGTCAGACCTTGGAAGCTTAGCTGGGTCAGTACTTGGAAGGGAGACCATGTTCCCTCTAAGCTGTGGAGTCTTGTGAGCAGAAATTCTACTTCATGAGCTACTGGCATTAAGGCTGTGAGCAAGCAGTTTGGCTCCTGCATAAATTAGTCTGCTCGGGAGCCCTCCTTCCTGAGCTAAGAGAAAAATGTGTGAGCCGGAGGCTAAAAAACTGTGAGCTAGCTCACACTAACTCAGCTTAGAGGGAATACTGGAGACCACCAAGAGAGACTTTGCAGAGGAAGGCTATGGCAAAACATCTCTGCTTAATGACTTGTCTTGAAAACCCTCTGGGGTCAGCATAAGTCGCCTGCGACTTGACAGTACTTTACCAACACACACATTTATGATATTGTTATCTTGCCTTTCTTTTTTGAAAGAAAAACGTAAGGGGTCTAACAAATACATACTGGTGACAGCAGGCCAGTGTCCCTCTCTCTCCAGCAGAAAGGCTGGCTACTGATGGAGTCGGGTACGTTGTGTGTGTTGATTTTTTGGTTAAGCAGACTGCTGGAAGGAGCCTTCTTCTCCTTCCCTCTCTATCACATATTTAAGGCCTGACTTGGGCACTGAATGTAGGCTGAACCCTGGTCAGATTAAGCCCCAAGTATAAAGTCTCAGCTTGGCTCTGATTGCCTGTCAAGCTGTACTCCAAAAAGACTGAGTGGGATAGCCGAGGATGTGGACATGGCAGTGCTACAGAGTCAGTCATTGCGGATGGAATCTTGTTTGTGTTTTGATCCCAAAGGATCATACCGTGTTTCCCCGAAAATAAGACACTGTCTTATATTTATTTTTTCTCAAGAAGACACACTAGGGCTTATACCACAAATGCATAGAAATCCTGCTAGGGCTTATTTTGGGGGTAGGTCTTATTTTCGGGGAAATAGGGTATTTAGGAGTGGGAGAGTTTAGGTTGGCATAGAATCCTTGCCAATTTGTAATATGAAGAGGAGTTTTAAAATGGATCTTTGTTCTCTGTCACACTTTGAACCCTTGATGTGGAGAATTGTCACCACAGGAACTTGGGTTTTCAAGTCAGAATGTGTTAATATACCGAGGTACTGCTCAGTGTGTTCAACCATGACTTGGCCCTTGAAATTGTGCCAGGACTGAATTTGTGAAGTAACAGGACAGTGGCTCCGAAAAAGTATCACCACTCACCATAGCCAGTGTTCACACATCTTGGATGAGGGAACTGGTATTTTAGGTCAAAAAACAGCTCCCAGTGGGACTTCACTGCCACAGGAGGTGGTGGCAGCTGCAAGCATGGACGGCTTCAAGAGGGAATTAGATAAATATATGGAGCAAAGGTCCATCAGTGGCTATTAGCCACAAGGTATGGGTAGGGACTCTGGGGTAAGGGATGCACTATATTCTTGGTGCTGGGGGGAGGTCAACAGTGGGAGGGCGTCTAGTGTCCTGGCCCCACTGGTGGACCTCCTGATGGCACCTGGTATTTTTGACCACTGTGTGACAGAGTGTTGGACTGTATGGGCCATTGGCCTGATCCAACATTGGCTTCTCTTATGTTCAAAAATCTGTTATTGGTTTCAGGACTCATAGCAATAATGTGTTCAATATTCCTGAGTTAAGTACATAATTTCTGTAGTGTTCAGAGTGACACACAACGAGACTGTGGCATTTTCAGTTCCACTTTAAAGAGGTTTGTGCTTTCACTCAGAGTCTAACGAAGGCCTTGTGTTTCCGCCATTCTGTATCCACGCAGTCACGTTGGTCAGACATGCTGTGGCAGTTCCATGCTTGGAACATATTTCTCAGGCTTGTGAGGGTCTGATTTGGACTGGGACCATGGCATGTAGGGACAGCGGGACCACCCTCCTCATGATATTTTCCTGACTTGAAATGGCCTCCTCGGGGAGCAGTTATGTGCCCTGTTTGGAAACTTGTGTGCACTGAGTGGTCACACTTGAATTTCTTCAAGCGGCAAATGGCTCCCAGGGCCATTTCAGGTCAGAAAAATGGTACAAGGGGAAGGCTTAAGCATCTTTTCCCCACCTTCCTGGGAGTAAAGTTCTAAGGACAGAACTCTCAAGCACATCTGGACAACAGGACACAAGGATCTAGAAGAAGAAGAAGAAGAAGAAGAGGAGGAAGAAGAGGAAGAAGAGGAAGAGGAGGAGGAGGAGGAGATTGGATTTATACCCCGCTCTTCACTACCCAAAGGTGTCTCAGAGCGGCTTACAAACTCCTTTCCCTTCCCCTCCCCACAACAGACACCCTGTGAGGTAGGTGGGGCTGAGAGAGCTCTTGACAGAAACTGCTCTTTTTCAAGAACTTATCAGAACTACGGCTTGCCCAAGGTCATCCAGCCAGGTGCAAGTGGAGGAGTGGGGAATCAAACCCGGTTCTCCCAGATTAGAGTCCGTGCCCTTAACCACTACACCAAACTGGCTCTCTGCACTATGCACTGTATAGTTAGGCCCTCAGGTTTCACATCTATTTCTGCTTCCTGTGTATCGTTAATTGAGGCCTGTACCCTCCAGAGCCACTGTTAATTGTTTCCTAATGAAGATTGCTCGGCATGGATTTGTTAACACTGCTTAATCACCTCATTGTATTCCTGACAGTTAAAGGCTGAGGTATTACCCTACCCCTATTTTCTGTATCTGCTTTACCCATGAAGCAAGTGGGAATCTTTTTATTGTTTGGGAGATTTTCAATTATATCATCTTTCCAAACACAGTATTCCTGAAATTAAGGCAAAGTGGCAGGGGTGTGTGTGTGATTTTATGGTAACGTAAATCTAGTCTGTGGCATTTTCTCCACATTCTTGCTGACAGGCAGCCTCAGCGGGGTCACCGCCTCACGCCTTCCGACGATGAGATGTACCAGAAGACGACCATCCACCACTTGGAAAGAGAATCCCAAGACATCATGTTTATTGAAGGTTACACGGCCTGGGGCTTCACCATCAACGGCAACAGAGTGGTAGGGCCTTGTGCTGTCTTGCCACGAGCCATCCTCCAATGGAACGTGAGTACAGAAGAGTTTCAGCCAATGAGGGATCTGGTGCTCACGACCCTGAGTTCAAAGCTTGGTTCATACGTGAAGTGGCAGAATGTTCTAGGGTGGACGGTGCCATTTCATACTCCAGGTGGATGATCACACTTTGGAATCCTCCCCCCCGTTAAGAACTCCCTGAAAGTAGAAAACCAGTACAGTAAATGGGAGGGGAGGTGCTTTTATCTCAGCTATGCCAGTTTTGCATTGGCGTGGAGGTTTGAATGTGAGGGAGCATTCAAAGCCCGAATCTGTCACCTGCAGTCTGAAGCAGTGCAGCCCCTTCTTTTCCCTTTGCCCTGCATGCGTGAACCAGCCCCAAAGCTGGTGTGCTTCTGTCTCGTGCAACCAGTCTTGGCAGGGGAAATGGCAGTTTGCTGGCTGCCCTCCTCTCCCCATCCCAAGTCAGCTACGGCTGAGGGAAGGAAGCAAGGCCTTGTCAGATACGGAAGAGAGATGGTAACAGCTGTGGAAGATCTACGGCCTGTTTTCTTGAGAAAGAACACCTTTTGAGCTGGGCTGGTGCTGTGGGTGACAGAAATGGAGGAGAGTAGCCATTGCGGGGCTTAAAACGGGGTTCCTGCATGTTTATTAGCTGTGGCTGAGAAAATGGCTGCCTATAAATCGGCCATTAGTGCTTAATCGTTTTTGTTTGTTTTGGGAACACATACCCTGCCTTTCTGCCCAAAAAAGCGCTTAAGGCAGCTTACAGGAGGAATTAATGTATGAAATTAAAACCATAAAAACACAATATAAAAGCAGATGAGTTGTCTGCTGCTTTTAGGTGTGTTTATTGTAAAAATGTGCTCCAAAGCAAGCAGATTTTAATCTAATCATGTAGCATAAGATGACATAAAAAGGAGTCTTAAAACAGGGCTCTCAAGCTCTGTGCTACCATAGAACTGTTGCCTGCTGTTGTTTAGGAATGGCTAGACAAGTATTTGCTGGCTGGGGGTGCTTTAGGGAACGGGCTGTCTTGCCTGAAGGCCAAGGGGTGGGACTAGATGAATCACTGGGCTTTTCACGTCCCTCCTTTTGGTTTTCTGTGGTCCCCTGACCACTCTCCTCCATTTTTTTGCAGGTTGGCACACACAATGACATCACGGCTGAGAGTCTCGCACTATTCCGCCTGCTGGAACCCAGGATAGGTACATGCGCCAATCCGATATGGCTTCCTTCCATTATAGTGGGCTCATGGGAGTGGTTTCTTCTGGTGCATAGGCTAGGAATAGATGAGGTGTGCCAGTATCTGGCCTGGACAAATCCAAAGTCTTGATCTAGATATTGCCTAAAAATTCGTGCTGTTGAAAACAGGTGCATGGAAGCTTTCCTTAAAAATTAAAAAGAGACCCCCTCCCCCTTCACCTTCTTTGCTGCTGCCTGTTTCTGTGAATCTGGTGGTGGCAATCACATTTCCACACTGCTGAGCATCATTTCTTTCTCTTTACACACAAGATGGCTGAGCTGGAGTAGGAGGCAATGTTCCTTCTTTGGCTGTTGTCATGTGTCTTGTGCATAAAGACAATGTGGTGCCCAGCAGGGAATACAATGGTGACTTCTGCTAAGTGGGTTTACTTCACCCGAATTTATGCACACACACCCTCGAAAGTCACCAAAGTGTCCTCCTTCCGGCTTTACAGCTTGTGAAACAGGTGGCAAAGCTGCCATTTTAGCTCAGCCATGCTAAAAATGGGCTTGTTCTTTCTCCAAAGAGTTCAGAGCAGCTGACGTTTGGTTCCCAGGCTGTGTACAAGGCCAGTTCTGGCTCAGCTTCATAAGAACATAAGAGAAGCCAGTGTTGGATCAGGCCAGTGGCCCATCCAGTCCAACACTCTGTCACACAGTGGCCAAAAATACCAGGTGCCATCAGGAAGTTCACCAGTGGGGCCAGGACATTAGAAGCCCTCCCACTGTTGCCCCCCCCCCCAAGCACCAAGAAGACAGAGCATCACTTGCCCCAGAGCCCCTATCTATACCTTGTGGCTAATAGCCACTGATGGACCTCTGCTCCATATGTTTATCTAATTCCCGTTTGAAGCCATCCATGTTAGTAGCTGCCACCACCTCCTGTGGCAGTGAATTCCATGTGTTCATCACTCTTTGGGTGAAGAAGTACTTCCTTTTATCTGTTCTACCCGCAATTTCATCGAGTGCCCACAAGTTCTTGTATTGTGAGAAAGGGAGAAAAGTACTTCTTTCTCAACCTGCTCTATCCCATGCATAATCATATAAACCTCGATCATGTCACCCCTCAGCCATCATTTCTCCAAGCTAAAGAGCCCTAAGCGCTTTAACCTTTCTTCATAAGGAAAGTGTTCCAACCCTTTTTTCATTCTCGTTCCCCTTTTCTGCACTTTTTCCAGTGCTATAATATCCTTTTTGAGGTGTGGTGACCAGAACTGCACACAGTATTCCAAATGAGGTCGCACCATCGATTTATACAGGGGCATTATGATACTGGCTGATTTGTTTTCAGTTCCCTTCCTAATAAGCATAGCGTTGGCCTTCAGTAGTAGGCCTTGCACTGTGCACTTTCACTTCAGTGAGATGGTAGAGACGATCCATGGCTGGGTCTTCCGTGGAGCTTTTTAGTTAAGAGCAGCTTCAAGAGGTGCCTGAATTATCCTGGGGAAGCTGCAGTGGGGGAGGTGGCATTTTATCCCTTCCTCCATACCACTTTCCCAATCTGAGAGTAATCCTAAACAGGTCTACTCAGAATCCTACTGAGGTGTATTAAATGGGGTTTATTTTCAGGAAAGTGTCGTTAGGATTGGCACTGTCCATCCTCTCCCTCCCCTACAGCTAAAATATGGATATTTTCCTGAAACAATAGCACTGGGGAATGTTTTGATGGGGGAAATGGCAGGGGAGAAGACACACCCCTTCCCAGCATGAGTACCCATGCGTGCAGCTGCTTTGAAATAAAAGGAAAAGGAACACAAAGGAGAGCCGGTGATGGATTTCCCAGTATTTTGTCCACCTTTACCATTCAGCTCTAGGTTTACTGGTATCAAAACTAGTTGGACTTCTAGTGCAAGATGCAGTTCTGCCTTGGGGTAACCCCAAATGCAGGTACACAAATAAGCAAGAACATGCTGATATGTCATTGAACTGAGTTACTTTAGTGGAAGATTTGGACTTTCAAGGTCTGTTTGTTGTTCTTCCTTGAGCAAAAGATTGTACCTGTATGAAGCCACCCTGCCTCGGCGGGGAGGGCAGGTATAAATAAATAAATAAAAGTCCCGTTTTGTGAGTGGCCCTTCCCTATTTTGAGAGCAACAAACAGGCTGTGGGGGAAGGGGGCATAAGCAGGCTTGTAAGTGCTGAAGCCCAATTCCCAGACCACACCACCCATCTGGCTATCAGTGCTATCTGGTAACTTATGTGCTTTTTACAAACACCGAGATTCACTTGATGCTGAATTCCAGCCTTGTAAATAAATCTAAAAAGCTTATTAACCAGCATTTATCTGTCTTCCCTGACACACCCAGATTAGTGATGTGTTGCCCGTACATAGCTCAGCTAATTTTAGTTTCTTAAGAACATAAGAGCAGCCCTGTGGTCCATCTAGTCCAGCATCCTGTCTCACAGAGTGGCCAACCTGTTCTTCTGGAGGGACGTGGAGGCTGAGACCTTGCCCTGATGTTGCTTCCTGACTCTGGGATTCAGAGGATAAGGTGCCTCTGGACACAAAGGTTCCCCTCAGTCACCATGGCTAGTAACCAAGGCTCCCTCTAAGCTGTGGAGTCTTGTGAGCAAAAACTCTACTTTGTGAGCTACTGGCATCAAACTTGTGAGCAGGTAACTTGGCCCCTGCATAAATTAGTTTGCTCTGGCACCATCCTTCCTGAGCTAAGACAAAAATGTGTGAGCTGGAGGCTAAAAACCTGTGAGCTAGCTCACACTCACTCAGCTTAGAGGGAACACTGCTAGTAACCACTGTTAGACTCATTCTCCATGAATCTATCCAATCCCCTTTTAAAGCTGTTTATTCCTGTGGCCATCACTACATCCTCTGGCAGCGAATTCCACATTTGAATCACTCTCCATGTAAAGAAGCATTTCCTTTTGTCTGTCCTGAATCTACTGCCCATCAGCTTCATTGGATGCCCTCGAATTCTAATATTTTGGGAGAGGGAGAAAAATTTATCTTTTGTCAACTCTCCCCACTCCATGCATAGTTTTATAAAACTCTATCATGTCCCCCCCCCCCAGTTGTCTCTTTTCTAAACTGAAAAGTCCCAGACTCTTCAGCCTCTCCTCATAGGGAAGGTGCTCTAACCCTCTGATCATCTTGGTTGCCCACCCTCTTCTGTACTTTTCCCAGCTCTGCGATGTCCTTTTTGAAATCTGGTGACCAGACCTGTGCACAGTATTCCAAATGAAGCTACACCATAGATCTATACAGGAGCATTATAATATCAGCTGTTTTATTTTCAATTCCTTTTCTAATAATCCCTAACGTATTGTTTGCCTTTTTCACTGCTGCAGCACACTGGGTTGACACTTTCATTGAGCTGTACACTACCGCCCCAAGATCTTTTCCCCCTCTCAGTCTGAGCAGGTTCAGACCCCATGAGCCTATACTTGAAGATGGGATTTTTTGTCCCAATGTGCATCACCTTACACTTACCAACACTGACCTTCCTTTGGCACATTGTTGCCCACTCACCCACTTTGTGGAAATCCTTTTGGAGCTCTTCCCAGTCAGCCTTGGTTTTCACCATCCTGAATAATTTTGTGTCATCTGCAAACTTGGCCACCTCTAGTCCCAGATCATTTGTGAATGAATTAAATAGTACCCACCTCAATGGCGATTGCTTACTTCCCTCCATTGTGAGAACTGTCCGTTGATTCCTACTCTTTGCTTCCCGTCATTTAACCAGTTTTTAATCCATAAGAGAACCTGTCTTATCCCATGACTGCTAAGTTTACTCAGGAGTCTTTGATGAGGAACCGTGTCAAAAGCATTTAGGAGGAGGAGATTGGATTTATACCCCGCCCTTCACTCGGGAGTCTCAGTGTGGCTTACAATCTCTTTTCCCTTCCCCTCCCCACAACAGGCACCCTGTGAGGTAGGTGGGGCTGAGAGAGCTCTTGACAGAAACTGCTTGTGAGAGAACAGCTCTGAAAAAACTTGTGACTGACCTAAGGTCACACCAGCAGCTGCATGTGGAGGAGTGGGGAATCAAAGCTGGTTCTCCCAGATTAGAGTCCAGGTATAGAATGTCTACCGGGTCACCATTGTCTACATGCTTGTTCACTTTCTCAAAGAACTCTCAAAGGTTGGTGAGGCAGGACTTCCCTTTGCAGTAGCCGTGCTGATTTCCCCTCAGCAGGCTTTGTTCCTCAGCAGAACCAGACCATAGAGCCACACCAGTGTCTGTCTGTTGCCAAGGCTGCTGTCACTTTCAGCTTAAGTCCTTAAAGGGTTCACGTGGCACAGAGCGTGTTGACTGTGGAGATTAAACTGGAGGCATGTCTTCTGATTACCTTCCTCTGTTGGCTGCCCACAGAAATCGTAGTGCTGGGAACAGGAGAGAAGGTGGAGCGGCTGGATCCTGCTGTCTTGAAGCTAATGCGGCAATGTGGGATTGCTGTAGAAATACAGGACACGGTAAGGGGTGCGGAGGACTGTGACATGGGGTGGGCTCTGCCCCGTTGTAGGAATGAGTTCACTGGGGTTTCACAAAGGCTAATTAAAGCCTCTTCATATATAGAAGCTGCGGGACTTCAGCCATTGGTTGCATGCTCAGGCTTAGGTTTAAGGTTGTAGCCCTCATTGTTGGAGAGGTGCACGGAGAGAGAGCGCTTTAGGCCATGTTTGCTAACAACAGAAACACATGTAGAGCTTACATTATTTGGACCAGCTACAACTCTAGAGGACTGTAGCCATATCCTCTTTCCCACACTAGGATTTCCGGCTGTCAGAAGTCTGTTTTGCATTGCGTTTCTTTTCCAGGGAATAAAATTCCACACACACCCTTCTAAGTGTTTATTGGTGCCCTGGCGACAGGAGTAATCAACTTCTCAAGCTGTGTCAGTAAACCTTTCACTCCACCGTGGTTGTTTGGGAAACAGACAGGTGGGGAGAAATAAACGCATTCTTAAGAGTTTGCCTACCAGAGCCCTTCAGGTTACTCTTGCTCAGATGTGCTTCCACTCTGTTGCATTTGGAGCTTGCTTTAGCCCAGTTTCCTCCCCACGCCTCATTCCTTTGCCATTCTTGCTTCCACAGCCCAATGCCTGCGCAACCTTCAACTTCTTGACAAGTGAGCGGCGGGTGGCAGCTGCCGGCCTCATCCCGCCTCCCGGTATTGGACAGCATGATAATGCAGCAGTCGGCTGAGACTCTGTGGGTAAGACCATGGGGAGGAAAAGAGTCTGGCAGGACAGAGGAAAGGGGTTCCTTATCCCTTCTAGTTTTCTGCTACATTCTTCATTACCGTGGCTGGGGGCTTCTCACGCCAGAGACTGTCGAATAAGAGAACTGTGCCGCACATTTTTCCAGCCTTGAGTGAAGTGTGTTAACAATATTGGAGCATAAAATGTACAGGCTAGAGTGAAGAAGATGCAGAATAAACTTGAAGCCACACAACTAAGCTTCCCCCCCTTTTTTTTGGTGACTTCTGTTTGTATAAAAGCAGGAGCCAATTACCACCTCACTCATGAAAAGCTTCTTCTCTGTTGCCTTTTCCTAGAGGTTGAAAATCTTGCTGAGAAAGCAACAGGCATCTAAAATTAGGCTGGTTATTTCTGGAACTGATCACTCCAGAACTGTTTGCGTTATGGAACACTTGGCTTGGATACTACCTAGAATTTCTGCAGGTGCAAAGGGTGGGTGTGATCTCCCCCCCCCCATTTCCAAATCTCCCCCCCCTTTCCTGGAGCAGCATTTCAGGAGGGGTTTTTAGGGAATTGGTGAAAATACCATCCTCGTGCCTCTGGAAATTTCTGATATAATCCAAGCCCTTATCCTCAACTGGGAAAGATGGTCACACTTCTATTGCACCTCCTCCAAGAAGCCCTGTATCAGTGCTCAAAACCACCTTCGCCTAAGATACTGAGAAAAGATCTAAATCTAGGCTTCCGTTTAGCTCTCCTGGTGCATATTAGCCAGTTTGTTATGAGGGAACCAGAACAATGTGTAGTCCCCAATTGTTTGTATATTTTTGGTAATTTGAGTGCCAAGGTGGTGTAGAGGTAGCCATGGAATCCATAAGGGACAAGGTGCGGAAATCTGACCAGATCAGCTTTGTTTACACAGCCATAATAAGATTGTCCTAGAGCAATTTCACACGGTTACAGCAAATGCAGGTTTGACACCAAGCATACACTACACGGGAGAGGCGCAGTCCCTTCACTCTGCCAACATACCTATACGATGCACATATTTGTATGCCCGAGAATCTGCTGAGCCCATCTCCAAAAGCAAGATAGGCACTTACCAGAGAGGGCTTTGCTGTAGCAGTTTCTCACCTTGGGACGACTACTTCCCTAACCACCTTCACCTGGTGCCTAAATGTTCAAGTGCCAAGTTGAGAGGCTCTTGTTTTGTTGAATTACTTGACTGAGCGTGGCATTTCTTCGCCTTCCCCCTCTTCCCCTTTTCCTTCTTCCTCTCTACCCTGTGTAGTATGAGTTTTAGCTGCTGAGTGGTATTTTTATTTCTTAATGGTGTATGAGCTGCTCTGAGTGTAAAGAATTTATTAATTTTCTTTAACAAAAATAATCAAACTGCCAGAGTTCAGATACTGCAGGTAAAGAAGCTTGCTCTTCTCTGCTGTTACATGCAATGTTGGGACCAAAAGAGATCGCCCAGCAATTCCAGATGATGCTCCTACCCTTGCAGATTCCACACAACTGCCCTGCCCTGGATGGCCCAGGCGAGCCCGATCTCAGAAGCTAAGCAGGGTTGGCCCTGGATAATACCTGGATGGGAGACCACCAAGGAAGTCCGGGGTCACTACACAGAGGCAAGCCAGCTTTGTCCCTTCCTGTTACTTGGATCCGCCTAAGTGTGTGACATTGAATGCGTGGCACAGAGCAGGCTACTAAGCTGCTCAATTTAAAATCGGGGCTTGGTTAACTGAATCATCAACATACCTCTTGTCCTCCAGTCGCTTTGCAGGCAAGCTCTATGGGTCTAGAACACCAGTTCTACAACTGTGAGGCCCAAATACCTTAAGAAACTAGGGATAAGCATTATGGCAAAAAAAAGCCAGACTTGCAATTTTGGTCCAACATAACTTCTAACAGGTCAGGTAAAAGGGAAGAGCATCAACACAACAGAAGCCACACTCTACCTTCTGCTGTCATGAAGAAGCTTTCGGCTGAATCATTATTGTCTATTCTGATTTGACAGCCGCTCTCTAGGGTCTCAGGCAAAGGCCTTTCACATCACCTGCTTTGTTAGGGGCTCCTCCTTACTCCCAACTGTTCCTCTCCAGCCCAGCCTCAAGTTCCTATGTGCTTCATTAGATTGCAGCTGGCACCTGCAACTCAGGAAACCTGAAAAATGCCTTTAATACATGCTATATTACCAGCATAATTCTCGCTTCAGGACTACCAAAGAACAGGTGACACTTAAAAAGGACAAGTGAAATTAAACTTGCTTTCACCAAAGGAAATGTAATCTGAGCCTTGAGGAGGGATGTTTTAAATTAACTGCTTTAAGATCAAAGCTTCTCCTGCCAGAAACAGAAGAGGCTGCATGTTTAGAGAGGACTCACAGAAGGATATGCACCTTAAGTTTGTAAAAATGTACAAGCCATTAATTCCAGGCAGTCCCCTTTAAACTAGGAGAAAAACTAGATTCCAAGAGGGCCAAGAGAACGTTCACACAGATTATCCATAGCCTAACCATCCATAGCCCATAAGTAGTTTCATTAGCTCAGTTTAGGGGGACGTGGCCTAGCAGAAGAACATCTGCATGGCATACAGAAGGTCCCAGGCTCAGTCCCTGGCATCTCCAGTTAAAGGATCTGGCAGTAGACATGAAAGACCTCTCTCTACTCAAGAACCCTGGAGAGCTGCTGCCAGTCTGAGTAGACAATACTGGATCAATGGTCTGACTCAGTATAACAGGGACAAAAAAGGAGGGGGGGGGGAACGGAACCTAAAACTTAGAATCCAGAACCTGACAAAGGTTAGTCAAATGCAAGAAAGGGGGCCAATATTAAAAACTTAATGAAGGAAATATATACAAAAATACATGTATTTATTAATCACAAATTTTAAAATTATATAAGGGCCCAATCACACATTATGTATAAATAACACACGATAAAATCTGACCTGACACCTTTCGGCCTACGTAGGCCTTCCTCAGAGGTCAATAGTGAGGAACATAAAAAGGTAAAGGTTCCCTTGCTCGAAAGCCAGTCGAATCCGACTCTAGGGTTGCGGTGCTCATCTCAGTTTCCAAGCCGAAGAGCCAGCGCTGTCCGAAGACGTTTCCGTGGTCATGTGGCCGGCATGACTAAACACCAAGGCGCACGGAACGCTGTTACCTTCCCACCGAAGTGGTACCTATTTATCTACTTGCAATTTCTGGCTTTCGAACTGCCAGGTTGGCAGGAGCAGTGAGGAACATATTGGCTATTATATAAATATAGTACAATCATGTAAATACAAAGGTTCCCCCTTAACCAGCTATAAAGCTCCAGCATTTTTAGTTGACCAACACTGCTCTTTGCCTGAGGACAATTTGGCTCTACAACCATAGGAAGGTGATTCCTAGACCAGAAGTTTATATCTGAGAACCACTTGGCATGTGATTGCACTTTTAGATGCCTCACTTGTACTTTTTACTCTGTGCCTGGTGGTTTTATTTTGAAACAACTTGCTTCTGGTCCTTATTGAATTTATACTTTGTATTTTATGTGTTTTATCGTGTGTTATTTATACATAACGTGTGATTGGGCCCTTATATAATTTTAAAATTTGTGATTAATAAATACATGTATTTTTAAAATATATTTCCTTCATTAAGTTTTTAATATTGGCCCCCTTTCTTGCATTTGACTAACCTTCGTCAGGTTCTGACTCAGTATAAGGCAGCTTCATGTGTGTTCAACTGATTTCTAGTATTTCCCATACTGAAAATGTAGTCGAGAGGTGCTGAGGGAAATTTCACATAACAACAAATACCGGACCATCACCAGTCTAGACTTCCAGGCGTATACTAGCAGAATCCTTACATTTCCAAACATCTGTGCAGTGCATTCATATTCTATGTAGACATTTTTTTAAAATGCTTCTCGGCCTTTTGGCTAAGATCAAGTGTAGATTTTATTTATGGCATTTTTAAAAAAGATGTCTCCTCACAGCCTCATTTAATGGCTGGATCAGAAAGGGACTGAAGACAACAAAACCCAGCAGGAAGGTACTGGGAACCATCTCCACCTACTTCTCCAAACACTTGTTTCTCCAACAGCAGATCTGTACCTGTTTGGGTATATAGTGTGTGTGTGTGTGTGTGTGTTTTTAACAGCTTTCCTGATGTCTGCAAGCAAGCACTTCTGCCCACTCACCTTCTCTTGAATTTGCTTCATGGGTATGCTTGGGAGTCACCATGACAAAGATGGAACAGGAAGGTGACTCGTTTGCTAAACTAGGAAAAGGTTCCCTACATGGTGCATATATATAACTCATATATAAGTAGCTGGCAGCTGTTTTGTGTGTGAGGTAAATTTATTTTTGAAGAGGTTAGTGGGATGGACGCTTGCTGTTCTTTTACGTTTGACCATCTCTCACCTTGTGAGAAAGAAAAGGGACTTCTGAGTTACTCTTATTTTTGCTGTTGTTCAGAATTCCTAAAATTTTTAGAGTTTGGGGATCAAGTCTCTTGTTAAAGACTGGTGAATTTCTTTTCTTCCAAGAGCTGAGGTCAAGAGTGCCAGGTCACAGATGCCAGCAATGTAATAGAACAGCCTAGAAGAGCAAACACTTTACCTTTGGAAGGAAAAGAGCTGAACAGAAAAGGGGGCCACAGACGGATAAGGATAAGAAATTGGGGATTTCAGCTAAACTCTTTCAAGGTTAACATTACCATTTGTCTCTGGCAGATATATCCTCAAATTTTGGTCATTAAATCGAAACATTTCATTTATGTGAGAGCAAGCATTTTTGACTAAACATTGTTCTAGCTGTGAGGTTTGAACAAATACACTGCAGAAGAGCTATCAGTGACAATGGGTTGGTATGTAGGATCATTGTTTACAAACTGTTGGGGGAGAATATCTAAAAGTACATGAGGGGTTAAACTTACAAATCAAGCAAGAAAAGGTAGGCAGCTGTATGCACCCAGAAAGCCGCTTCTCAGCATGCGTCATGAACATCTGCCCTTGAAAGCTGCTGTGGGCAAAGACAGACCAAATCCCCGCACATTTCATCAGGAAGAAGGTGGAAAACGCTCCCTTCTCCTCTGTTTTATTGTAAAAACACACGTCAACACACATACAGGGCCCCTCTCAAGAGCCTCGTTCAAGTGACAGCATTTCCTCTGGAATAGGCTGATGCATTCTCCTCAGCCTTGGTCAAAATAGCTGATGAACCAATTGTGGGGGGGGGGGGGGGGGGGGGGAGCAACTAGCAGCCCCAGCCCTTGTAGCAAAATGGCACTTCCATGAAGGGAGCAGTTCATGAGGAGGGCAGCACAGGCACCCCTCAGGGCAAAGAGGCTGTGGAAAGGCAAAGGGGGACCTTCATCAGAAAAGGCGTTTCTCGTATCTAGGCAAAGAAAGGAAAGAGAAGTTACTCTCTGTTCAGTGGAGAGTTAATTCAGGAGGCTGGGAGAGGCAGAAGTGTAACTTGGGGCTAAATGCTGGAACTTTACACACACACACACCCCCGAGCAGAAAAACATGGCAAAAGCAGTCGTCTTCAACAGGATGGTACCTCACCCTCAGAACCACCACATAAAATAACGGTAAAAGTGTTTTTTTGTGTGTGTTCTGTGGGAAAAGCTTAACCCATATTTACAGAGTAATCAACAGTGTCAGACTGGGAGGGCCTTCATCATTCCCACCCCCACCATGCCATTGCCTCAGCGCCCATTTTAAAGTAGGGAAGCTTGCAAGCAGCTAGTGCCTTTACATAAAGGCAAAAGCAGCTGTTACCCAGTCATTAGGCAGCACGCCTCACTCCTTTGCATACCTGTTCAGAAGCAATCCCACAGAGTTCAAGTGTGTGTCAAGTCCCAACTGTCCCTGCAACTTCAAGACTCTTATCACTGCAGACAAAAGACTTCCAAGACTTTTGTGACTGCAGGCTTGACTGTGGTTTCATCCCACTTAAATCACATCCTGACCCTCATCTCCTGACACACAGCAGTGCTGAGCGATAAGCAGCAAGTCAAGCCTCGGAAAACACCCAGAACAGTTCAAAGGCACCAAACAAAATGCTCTGAAAAAACTACGCACCCAATACAGGTACAGCCCGGAAGAGCAACACATACTACCTCTGCTCATTCCACATGGGCTTTGAAGTGGCTTCAGAGGTACCCTGTCAAGCACAGGCTCTTAGCCCTTTCCTGCCACTTGTGTGCAGAGGAAACTGGTGCAATTCGTCTCCGCTTCAGAAAGTAGTACTGAGGACTAATAGTGGCGGCAACTGGCCTGGCTGCCCTCGCTCACGATATCTGAAGATGCTCTAAAGCTCCTTCCTGCATCCTGGAGATCGCCCTGCGTGTGCCCTTTGCTCATGCTGGCCAATGCACTGGTTCTGTGCCACAACACACCTGCAGGAAGGAGAGTCACAGACCACTCTACAGACCGGCATTCCAGTGAAATGACAGCAGCAATGTGCCGAGTGTTCCTGCCTGCTGGGAGGGGCAATGCAGCAGTGGCAAATGCTGCACACAGAACTTACGAGTGGAGACCGTGAACTCCTCCTTCCATCTGGGCAGACGTCGTCCTCTTTTCAAATTTCAGCTCTCCTGAATACATCATGGCCCTGGTGGTGAAAGACAAGAAAGGACTGAGATAATGTTCCCTATTTACCATGAAGAGTTGCAAATTTGGATGGACAGATAGACAGATATAAGAACATAAGTGATGCCAATGTTGGATCAGGCCAATGGCCCATCCAGTCCAACGCTCTGTCACACAGTGGCCAAAAATACCAGGTGCCATCAGGAGGTCCAGCAGTGGGGCCAGGACACTAGAAGCCCTCCCACTGTTGCCCCCCCCCCCAACACCATAGGGTTGCTAGGATTCTCCAACTGGTATAGATGGAAGTCTGTATCAGACCCATCAGGAACACGCTGTCAGTTTGCCACACACAGACCAACTCTGTGGCAGATAGCAGGAAAGGTGGAAGTGTTTCTGCGTAAAAGTCTTGGTGGCCCGAATATAGCTCCCAGGAGGACCTAAGGTATTTAGTCTTCCTCCAGGGTACTGTGGTGATAACTTGTCAATTTGGAGTAGCCCAACCAACTCCTTTGGACCAGTACTGGAAGCAAGGTCTCACCCAGTATATTTACAAGTGCCATCAAGCTATCATGGCCAATGCACACAGAATTCCTAATATTTATTTAGACGTTCCCCGTTCCCCACCCCCCCATGGAGACCCAAAACAACTTATAACATCGTTCTTTCCTCCACAGTTCTATCCCCATCCTGTGCAGTAAGTTAGGCTGAGAGACTCAGCAGCCAAAGGTCAGCCGATGAATTCCTATGGCACAACAGGGATTTGAATTTGTGCCACCCCAATCCCAATCTGAGACTCTAAGGGGTCCCCAACCTTTTTGAGCCTGCGGTCACACCTTTGGGATTCAGATAAGGTGTGATGGGCACAGCCACAAAATGGCTGCTGCAGGAGGTGGAGCCAGCCACAAAACAGTTGCTGCAGCATACCTCCGTTCACACAGTGAGGATTCTTGTGTTGTGGTGGCAGCTGCTGCCAAGGCAACTCTTAAAAATCTGCACAGCCAAAGCACATCTCCAGTGCCCCATCAGAAGCTTTGCAGGCACACTTTCTAAACACACTTAGCAGGTAACAGAAAAGATGTTGGTGGGCTCCATGACGCCCACAGGCACCACAATGGGGACCCCTGCTCTAAGCCCTGCACCACCCTCACAATGCAATCCTGCGGTACTCGGGGGGGGAAAGGGGAGAAAAAGAAGAGAACAGACCCATCAATGCTCTCACCTAACTTGGGTGACGCTCTTGGCACCAATATCTTGGCAGGAGTGCTGGATGCCAGCAATCAGGTATGGCACGAACTTGTGGATGGAGCCCTTGTCCTGCACGGCACCAGAAACCCCCTGTGCCACTTTAATTTTATCTGTCTCACTAGAGAAATCACAGAGGAATACAAAGTCTTGTGAGAATTTGCACTACAGGGTTCACTCTGCCTGACACTTTGTTCTCAAACTGTTAACAAACACATCCAGAAGATTAAAAATGGGGGGGGGGAGTTAAGTTTTCCCTTCTTCCCAAGCTAGACCATCATGGTGGTGACACAAAATTCCGACAGGCTGCAGCCGACTCACAGGGTTTTCAAGGCAAGAGACATTCAGAGGTGGTGTGCCGCTACCTTCCTCTGCGTCGTGGCCCTGGACTTCCTTTGTTCCCCCCATCCAAGTACCCACCAGGGCCGAACCCGCTTAGATTCTGAGACCTCATGAAATGAGGCTAGCCACTGGGGCTAGCTAACCCCTCATATACCTTCCCAAATACAAGGATGTTTTTTAATTTCTTCCACAATTCATTTAAAAGGAGGTTGTGACCAAGGCTCCCTCTAAGCTGTCTTGTGAGCAAAAATTCTACTTGTTGAGCTACCAGCATTAAAGTTGTGAGCGAGCCATTTTGGCTACCGCACAAATTAGTCTGCTCCGGAGCCATCCTTCCTGAGCCCAGACAAAAATGTGTGAGCCGGCGGCTAGAAAACTGTGAGCTAGCTCGCACCAGGTCAGCTTAGAGGGAACACTGGTTGTGACAAAGCTCTAGCGGCTTGGTCTATCAGGGTTACAGGCCTTTTCCTCAGTCTTCATGCACTTATCCTGCTTGTACATCACCAGCTTTACATTCCCCAGTAGCTCTTATACAAAGCCGAACCCTTCTCACCTGAAGTATCTGTTCTGACTACCAAGGTTTTTGTCCATGGCGTCAAGTGACCCCATGCCCCGGTATTTTTTCAGTCGGATCCCGTCAGAGAAGAAATACTCCCCCGGAGCCTCTGTGGTGGCGGCCAGCAGGGACCCCATCATCACTACAGCCAAGCAAAGAAAGCAACGTGAGGTGTGGCGGGGCAGGAAAGAGAAGACAGAATGGGGTTTTGACAGCTCAGTCAAAGCTAGACCAGGGGCCCTGGCACACAGTGGCAGGTTTTACCACTGATTTTGAATCACGTAGACTTGTCCTGTGTCCTTGAAGACGGCAGCATCACAGACAAAGGGCCACACAAGTCATCACGTGATTGAAATTAGTTGGTTCTTAAATATATTTAGGGATGGACAGCCCGAAATGTTCTGGTAGCAATTTCTTTACAGAGGCGCAGATATTTGCAAAACAGAAGTTCTCCTCTCCCACATCAGTAGCCATTTGTGCAAAAGCTACACGGTAGCTACTTCCCCCGGCTTCAACATCAGAAAGCCAGTTGTATCGAGAGCAAGGCTAATGTTGGTTTCCCTTTCACCTTGTGGTGAGGAATTCCAGGATCAGGGGACCTGAGGGCATTATAAATGCTGACGAGAACACCAAATGCTGTTCAACTGTTGCCAACAGCAAACATGTGAAGTGTGGAAGCATTCATTCATCCATACACACACACACACTCCTAAAACCTTGCCCACAAATTAGGTTTCGCAGATCGACATACAGGGATGCAAACACCAGGGTTTCCCACAGCAGATGTGCTCTTGGTAAGACTTGCTACAGTCTCTCTAGTGAGTCACTGCCCCCTGCAGGACAGGATATGCCCTAGCATGAAAAGAGCACAGTACCATTAAAAGCAGAACCTCCTCCCCAAAAGCCAGAAGTTCTCTGTAGGGATTGACATGCACCCGAGAGCAAAAAAACAAGTAATTTGACATTAGCGTCGAACCTGTGGAAGCACCAAGTGCCAGGGCCTTGGCAATGTGGCCGACGTTCTGGATGCCACCATCTGCTATCACCGGCACGCCAAACCTCCGGGCGTATTCAGACACTTTGTACACTGCCGTGGCCTGAGGCCTCCCACATGCCAAGACTAAACACCACAGAGACAAGATAGAGAAAAGAAATAAAAGCGGTCAGTGTTTGGCCCACTGGTCCAACGTATGATTCTTTAAAGATCCCTTCCCCACTCTAGACCCTTAAGATCAAAAAGTGCAAGGCTTTTTTTGGGCTACTCTCTTAAGCACAATAAACCCACAGGAGGGGCATTCTCTAGCTCTTAATTCCACAATGCATCTGGCAGGCATATGAGCTGCTCCAATGACTCCAGGCAGCTTCTCGCATGGCTCAGAGGGCAATAACCCCCATGACACATAACATCCATGCAAACTACTTGTTGATCAATCTTAGGGACTACTGCCCGGTCTGCATGCAGAATCTGACCAGCCACAGTGCTCTCTAGAGAAACCCTGAGAGTAACGAAATGTTTGTGCCTGGCATGAGGACACGAAAACTTGATTGGGAGTCCTTGTCAAGCCAGCAAACCTCCTGACACACAGGATGACCAAAATATAAGGCAACCACCCCCACGGCATCCCATTTACAGTTCGAGATGGGACAGGAAACAGGCATAGGATGTGGGAAAACTCCAAAAGAAAGGATCCTTCAAGTACATGGTCATGTGTCAACAAGGACTGTTTTGTGCCAGTAATTTGTCCTGAGTTTGCTCGTGGTTTCTGTTCATGTAGCAATTCGATATACAGGCTCGAAGTGAGGCACGCTGTACAGCCAGGGTCATGCACAAACTCTTCAAATTGTCCCCCTGAAATGGAATACTCTCTCCCCCATTCACAATTAATTTAAGGCCTTTGCTCCATCGCGGTTAGTACAGTGTACCAAAGAAGACCACGACCATGCAAGATTAGTCATTCAGAGAGTGCAAGCTTCCTGTTGAATGCAGGTTTAGACTCGCTGTCTTGACTGCCAAAGCTAACTCAACACTTCATCAGGAAACAGGAACCCAATATACCATTTTCGTACCAGCTCAGCTGCGGTTCTGCTCTCCTTCCCATTTCTATGGCTCAACATAAGCAGCTCAAGGTGTAGACATGTTTGGCTTATTCTAGGAGAAGTGAAGTTTCAGTTTCACTGAAATCAACTGCATTGAACTGGAACTCAGCCAGCCATGAAATGGGCCTCCCGTGAGAAGGTAAAAACCAGGTGAGCGCTAAAGAGATGGTCTCGCTTTTGCGGAGGCAACATCAAGGCTGCCAAATGGTGGAAGCAGATTTCCCCCCCTTTAAGGAAGATGCCCGCCCCCACGCCCCCCGGGGGGGGGGGGGGAGCGGAGCGACCGCAGAACTGTGCAGTCGCATCTGACCCTGCCTCCGCATTGAGCTCCTACAAAAGAATTAAAATTTAAAAAACGGACTACGATTCAAAACTATGGGGAAAACCAAGGGACCAAAAGGAGGCAAGAACTCCTCCAAAATGATGTCTAGAGCACCACAAGAAAACCAAGACTCTTCCGACGGAGACTCCACCCCCCCATTGGAAATGGAGGAAGAAGAAGCCCGGGCAAGTAAAAGGAAAAGAGAAGACTCCTTAACTAAAAAGCATTTACAGGAGATGCTTACAGACGTAAAAGAAGAGACAAGACGTAAAAGAAGAGATAAGAAACAGCATCACTCCTATTATGAATAAATTGGATGAAGCTAACAAAAATTTATTGGATGCACAGGCGAAGGCGGAGACAGCGGTCACCGATATGCAAAAGAACTCTAAAGAAATAGCTGAATTGAAAACTTTTGAAGAATGGGAGAAAAGTAAGCTAATGCTGTTAGAAATTAAATCACAGGAAACTAAAGTAAAATCTCATGGAATTTCCCTGAACTTTGATTTAAACACGGACCTGACTGCCACTTTAAACGAGTCGCTAGAGGGAAGCTTCCGGGGCCTGTGGTAAATAATGCCTACCGTTTAAACCCTCCCCTAATGGGTTCACCAGCATTGATACCGGACATAGTGGGAGAACTTAAGGATACAAAGATTAAGTGGCACCTTTTGGAAATTGCAAGGAAGAATATGCTTTTCAACCAGACTGCTCTCTAGAAAAAGTAGTTCTACCTTAAAAAACAAACTTTGCTCGTAAGCTAAGGCAGCCAATCACGCAGAAATTGAGAGAAAGGCTTTCCCTAGGCTAGCAGCTTGCGCTCCATGTTCCTGAATGGGCTTCAATGGAAGGGTAGCGGCTATCATGAGAAAAGGTTAAAAAAAACGTGTTCAAAGAGGCGCTTCGTCAACTCTATCTTCCGTGTGCAATAAGAGCAGAACGGGCTGAAGCTCCCTTCCCTTGTGTGGTGTGGGGATTTCAGCAGCGTATTATGCCCCTAACAGGGAAAACAGGGACCAGGGATGATGTACACCAGGGGTGGCCAAACTGTGGCTCTTTCACACATATTGTGCGGCTCTCGGCAGGGAGGCTGGGGAAGTGAAGGGGAGGCATGCCTCCCCAATCGGTCTTCCCTTCCGCAGCCAGTCTTCCCCTCCCTGGGTAGGCTTGAGGGGGAGGGAGCGGAGAAAGAGAGCAACTTTAACTTTAAATGCATTCTCAAAGCCCTTTTTTTTTCCCCCCCCCCCCCCCCAATCTGGCTTGGGAGAAGGCATTTGTCTTTTTAAGCTCCTTTGCCAAGTCGGCCGGCGGGGAATGGGTGGGTGGAGTTGGAGGATGCACTTAAAGTTAAATCTGTTTTTACCCCTTTTGTTTTTATTTTTGGCAGTCTCGTTTAATGTTAATAAAAAGCAAATTTGCCTATTTTCCTATAAAAACACATATGTAATACTTGTTCATGTCTTGTGGCTCTCAAACGTCTGACATTTATTCTGTGTGGCTCTTACGTTAAGCAAGTTTGGCCACGCCTGATGTACACAAAAAGGACCATGGTTTTCAAATAGTTAAAAGGATGTCTATAAAGAAGATGATAACATAATTGACTCAGGGTGAGGGTTCTTTTTTATGTCAATCTAATACGGTTTAGAAGAAATGTTTCCTACAATTACAAGTTCAGGAGTGCAACAAGGTGCTTATCTAAGGATGAAACCCTGAAGCTTTATAAGGAAAGCCAGCCAGGCAGGATCAAGCTATTCTATATGGTGCATCGTTAAAAACAAGCAAGAAATCCCTTTTAACCTTAGAAAGGTGTACCTGATGACGAGAGCTTGCAATGTTCCATCAACAACCCAATTAAGAACCTCTCAAAGACAGCACTTTACCTATTATGTATATTGAATCAGAATCTAACTCCTTCTGGCATAAAGTGATTCCAATTCACAGCTTCTGTCTCAAATGTAAGTAAATTATGGTGATCTTGCCCATAGAAAGGGAAAGTAAACGGGCAAAGTAAGCTTTTTTTTTTTTATTTTAAATTCAGGTTCCAGATTTAAGGAAGGAAGAAAAAAAGCTTCAACTGGTACCAAAAAGGACAAAATTAGAACCCTGCATTAGGAAAGGCACAGAATCAGGAAGCTTCTCAAGTTTTTGACAACCAGTATCCAAAGCCACAAAACCCCAAGTGCATCTAAGCAACTAGATTACTCTCCAAACAAGCGCGGGGGGGGGAGGGGGGGAGTGGCAATGGGCAGCCAATCAGAGCCTTGCTCCAAGACAGAATTAAGGGGAGGGGAACGAGGGGGAGCAATGACTTACTATAGGTGCCAGTAACTGTGGAAGGGCATTTGGGGCTGTGGGACTTTAGGTCTGGAGGGATCTTTGGAGCAGCTAAACAAGACAAAAACATACAATTTAGAGATAAGAGAGCAAGAGCCAGAAGGACACCCCAGACAGTGATGCAATGCCAGCACACAGCTTGGCATCGTGCAGCCGGGTTGCACTCCACTCACTGCAAAAGGGAACGCACCGGATGACCCTCCTCTCCAAGTACAAGCGACCCTGGGCCAGCAACCCAACGTCTCTCTCTCTCCTCCCTGTTCCAATGTTGACTCAGTATGTAGCCAAGCCAGCACCTGCTTGGAACCTAATGCCACTGCTGCCCTGGTCACTCAAGGGCGCAGCTCTTCACCCATTATATAATCAGCATGACCAAAAATATGTAAATGCCCATCCCAGCGACTCAGCAGACTGGGATCTAGCCCCACCTTCTCACTACACATCCAGGACCAGAACCCTCCTCAAGGAAAAGGTCAGGGTTAGCAAAATGGGCTGTGGTTGGCATGCAAATGTTTTCCTTTACCTTCCTGTGTGATGCAGATGGACCCGCTGCCCATGCCAACTCTCAAGGCATCCACCCCGGCGTCAATCAAGTTCTTCGCCTGAGCTGCTGTCACCACTAGGGGAAAGAAGGGGGAGGGAGACATATTTTAACAGGGGGCAGGAGGCTGGCCTTCATTCAGTCTGGCACCATCCCAGCACTCTAAGCTTGTGACTGTAGGTTTTTTCCCTTCTGAAGGATGGGAACAACTGTGAATAAGTTCTGCTGTCAGACAGCAGAGCAAGAGGTCGCAGTTCCAGTTGGAAACTTGGGTTCCCATTTCAGTTCTGATAGCCTCTTGTTGAGCGACCGTGGCTAAGTCACTTTCAGACTTATTTTTTTTTGGGGGGGGGGAACACTCCATCAATCGAACAGATATTGCAATGATCAATATTTTTATTTTATTTATTTTATTTTATTTATTTTGGGATTTATATCCCGCCCTACCCGTACGGCCCATAATACAATATTATGATGTATGTCACATTTTTGGCCTGGGTGACATCCTTTGTCACAAAAACACATCTGTGGTAAAAATGCCACATGGGCTTCCATTTTCCATCTGTGCCACACTAGTCTGGCTCAGGGGTATGTGTGTGAGCCAATGGTTATTTTAGAATCTCTTCAGGCCCTGGGATTCTGTGAATAAACTATGCTTTTCAAAAATAAATAATAACTGTTAATGGGTATTGTACATTTAAAAGGAAAAAACCCACCTTAATGATCAGGGTTTATATTCTTCAGATGGTAACTGCTTCCCCAGAACTGATAACCCCAAATGGTTTCCTCCTTTAGACCTTATACCCTACGACAACCCTTTCAATGCTCAATGGAATACCGTGCTTTACAGAAGATATTTAGGACAGACTATCACAACAGTGACAACAGAACTTCTGAGGTCCTGCCATCAACCTAAGCTTCTCGTAGGCTATAGATGAGTCCCACAGTAAATTGTTGATGTGGCTTCACTAGCAACAAATGTCAATCTTATGAGGCAATGAAACACCCCACTAAAAATGTATCAAATTTCTCTACAAACCAAGGAACAGAATCCCATTTAATAGTTAGATTAGCAATAAACAATCTTTACCGTTGCCTCCAATGACCTGCAGGTTGGGGTATTTCTCTTTGATGTATTTGATCATGTTGATCTGGAAAATGGAGTTCCCTTGGGAAGAATCCTGGAAGAAGATAGAAAGAGTCCAAAACCATGCTACTAGGGATTTTTCCCCCTTTACTTCCACCAGGGCAAAAGACCCATTAGTTAAACGTCTTTATTCAAGAGACAGCACATCCAACTTCAACAAACACTTCATGAACTTATCTAAGGAAGTGCACACAAAAGCTCATACTTTGAATAAAACATTGTTGGTCTTAAAGGTGCCACCGAACTCAAACTTTGCTCATGAACTTTTATCTGTCAGTACCAACTAGTAACAATTAATTTGAACAAAATTATATAAAACGTGCTCTCTAAATTAATCTCCCATTTTGTTGGGGAGCTATACTTGGTTTGCCTTATTAAAAGAGGTACATGAAGCCGGAATGAATAGAGAAATACCCTGAAATCTACTTTCAACAGCTGCCTTTTTTCTACCTCAGTTTGCTAGCCTGCTCTGATTCAGATGCAGTTTCACACAACAATGTTTTTCAGGTGATGAGGCTCTAAGTCAGGGTGCCATTCGCCCACAAATGAATGAGGAGGAATGAATGAGAAGGAAGAAATATCCCTCTTCCAATCAGGACCATGGTCTAGCAGAACTGGCAAACGAGAAAGAGCTACTGTCATGTCCACAACAGCAACAGGGTATACCTCTTTGCTGAAATGTGGAGACTCCAGAAAGAGAACCGAGCCTCCAGCAATTTCTCTGGACAAGGTCTGTCATTCTGTAGCCATATTGTGTCCTAACCACTTCTGTCGAAATGGTGGCAGACTCATGTGTTCCCATTTTTATTTAAATCTGCGCCCCTATACCTTGAGAGCTCAAAAGCACAGATTTTTTTAAACAAAAAACCCAAGAATTAATTGGTATTCCATACTTCTTGTGTCACAGTCTTTAAAATGAATCGCAAGCCAAATCAGTACCCACAATAAAACCAGTCATGCCTGCTCGGTCTCAAACAGAAGGTGAGACAGCACGGTACAATAATTAGAGTCAACGGCATAAACTTCAGAAAGACGCACAATTTCCTTTAGGAGTTTAACTTGGGAGCAAGAATGGAGATTAATACCCCTTGTACTATGAGCCAGTACAATGCACAGCAACCCTTATTAGTGAACATACATCTCCATTTTCACCTTATTACTGGAAAGGCACTTGCATGTATTGGCATGTATCCCATCTTAGGCTGGAGGAGCGAAGGTCCCTTTCTTCACCTTAAGCAGCCCTTCTGGGGAAGGAAAAGCCACTTAAAATGGAGGAAGACTCCTTAGGCCAGAGGAAGGATTCAAATTTTGCTCAAGGAAGTGAAAGGATACATGCCATCAAGCCTTCAATGGACATCATTGTGCGATTATAGAATACTGCAAGTTCTATTTGAGAGCCTGTGAACAGAAATCAAAAGCTCAAGCTACCCGTATCCGTATCTGTAGGAAGGGTGTCTAGATCTCTGCTCTAAATAAACACAGAACTTTGCAAATCAGAATTATGCAAAACGTACACAGTTCCTAAATTATGCTAAAATAGTTGCAAAATCCTAGCTTATCAGTAGACAACCGCTTATTCACTCCCAGCCTCAATCTGCCATCAATGAAATGGGATGGCTTTCCTCACTAGTTTACTGCAAAAAAGTGAAGCAATTGTTGTAAACTACCATGCCTCTTAGTATTGCTTTATGAACAATATGTACAAAAACCATGTATTGTTTGGGGAGGGAAAAGGGATATTTGGAAAAGGGACAGACTGAAGCATGGTGATGTAGGAGAAGGTGTACATGAAACAACAGAGTAAACATGCAATGCGTAAAACTCCTACCTCCAACAGCTTAATCATTTATCTGACCTGAATAGCTACGGGCATATTAATTAAGATCAGCCTAACAAAGAGGTCTAGAAGGCTGGTCTTCAATGGATTTTTCAGTGGACTATACAAGAGTCCTACAGCATCCACCCATCCCTCTCTCTCTCCCCCTCCCTGTGCTTTTATCCCTTGCCCGCAATTAGTACTTCCACCCTGAGCATGCTGTTCTCACAATGAACTGATTACTTCATCTGGTTTAATGCTGCTATCCCTTTTGTTGTACCGCTTGAGGTAAAGCTTGAAGCTTTGCAATATTTAAAACATTTTTGCACTACCAACCAATCCAAGTACCTTCCTATCATAAAAGCTGCAGAGAAGCAAAGCGGACTTTCCAAGAAAAATCAATAGCATTCAACAATTCTACAGAACAGCAAGGAAGTTCAAAACAGTCCATTTCTATAGCTGCCGAAGGAGCGATGAAATTTAAAAGATGCAGAGTCCAGGTTCAACTAGCTAGGTTGTTCTGCCCAAAGCACTCTACTGCACGCCCATCCCCGATACTCACCAACACAACAACATCCACACCAGCTTGCACAAGGAGGTCGAGACGGTATTTATCATCTTCGTGGGTCCCAATGGCAGCCCCACAGAGCAGCTGTTTCTTGGTGTCTTTGGATGCCAGGGGATAGTCCCGATTTTTCTTCAGATCTGTGCGAGCAATTATGGCCACCAACTCGTCCTGTTCATTAACGATGGGCAACTTGCCTAGAAATCAAAAGAGGCATGCTGAGAGTTATTATAGTCAAGGCACAATGATTTTTTTTTTCACCCCCACTTTACAGATAGGGGAATGAGACTGAAACTCATAGTGACTTGACCAAATGCAGGTCTGTGGCTATGTAAGGATCGGCGCCAAGAGCCTAAGTTTAAAGTTCAGAACACAGGACTACGACGACGTTCAGATTTCTTCTGCCCTAGAGGAACAATAATTTGTACTCATAACCATTTCCATGATTTAAAAAAAAAAAAAAAGCTTCAAACCAACAAAACTGGAACTTGCTGACACTGCAGCCCTTTATACTCAAGTTATTATAATCCATGCCCTAAGGACAGGGAGAAACATGTCATTGCAACCGGCACACCAAGAGAGGAACTCTATGCCAATGTGTTGCACTAAGCCACAGAAAGAGACACAGTATGCCAAGTCAGAATACCACACAGCTATTCCCACCTACACACAGGAGAGGAACTAGTGGAATATGGGCTGCCATCTGTTTAAGATCTTATCTGAGCTTTTGTTTCCTTCTTCTCACAGGTACTTAAAAAGCCCGGGCGTAGCCAAAAGCAAGAGCCAAAGGGCTCTTGGCTTACAGCCTGTTGCCTCAGTGAGCTGCCCCAGTGGATCTCAGATCAGCCTTACATACCTTTTGGGGTTTCTTTTCTATGTGTATATATTTTTTCACATTGTTTAAATTGCACTGATTATTTTTTATAAGCCACTTTCGGGTCCCCATTGAAGGGAAGAGGAAGGCAAGAAATGCCACTAAACAAATACCTTTTTTACTCCTCTGTAGAATTTCATTGGCTTCCTTTAACGTAACTCCTGCGGGCGCTACAACGAGGTCTTCTCGCTTGGTCATGATCTAGAAAGAATGGAAAATTTAAGAAGTATGGAAATTGTTTCTACTTGGCCAAATAAAGCAGCAATGTCCAAGAGATAGAGCAAGGGTTCCCAAACTTTTTGAGCCTGCAAGCACCTTTGGAATTATGCCATAGTGTAGTGGGCATAGCCACGAAATGGCTACCACAAAATGGCTGCTGCAAGAGGCGGAGCCAGCCACAAAATGGCTGCCGCAGCTTACCTTCAGTCACACAGTAAGGACTGTTGTGCTTGGTGGCAATGTTTTTTAAGAATCTGACGGTCAATCAAATTTCCAATGGCCAGTCTGAAGCCTTATTGGACAAAAGCCCCACCTGGCCCCGCCCACTGGCACCACAGTACCCACAGGCACCACGTTGGGGTCTCCTGAGGTAGAGGAATGCTTAACAGGGGTGTCTGATGGCAAAAAGAGCTGCAAGAGGACTCTCTTAGCCAGCACCACTGTATTGTATGTACTGTATTTACCGTAAGGGAAGGGCTGAGGGTATCTTAATCAGAAGAGCTACCGGAATCCAAAATCCCATAGGGAGATTTTGTAAGGATCGGTATCACAATCAGTGCAACTTGAATACCAACAGTCTACTGTACTGCTTCAGTTGTCAGGTGGGGAACTCCCATGGTGAAGTACCCCTTCACTAAGAAACATCCCTGCACACTCAAAACTAGCACATCAGGGAGAAAGCTAGGCCAGAATGGATCTCCCAGACAACTGGGAACAAGCCACGGCTCACTGGCAGAGCACCTGCTTGGCATGCAGAAGGTGCCAGGTTCAATCCCCTGCCATTACTTGAAAGGATCAAGTACCAAGTGATGGGGAAAACCTTCCACCTGAGACCATGGAGAGCTGCTGCTTGTCAGAACGAATATTGACCTGACAGATCAATGGTTCGTCTCAGTATAAGGCAGTTTCATGTGTTTTGTTCTATAAATGCAGAAGCTTGGTTTGTACAGAGGAGCATTCCATCCCTAGAGACTCCAAGACAAGCTGTTCAGCTGCCTCCTGATTTTATGCATTAAGTTAACAAGTCGGGAATGCATAAGGACACACACACACACCCCTGTGGGGTGGAATTAGAGATGATTGAAGACCGCACTTGGGAAGGGCACCTAATGCCTGGTTTTGTCAGCCCAGTCTAAAGATAGCCTAGGAGAGCAGTGCTGGCACTAAGGCACTCTGCAGAATGCTGCAGTGGTGAAACCTGATGCCCAGATACAGAGGCAACACTGAAGCAAAACTCAGGCGGCCTCTGGTAACCAATCTATTCCTACTGCACTAAGAGGAGAAAGCCAAGTGCTATGCTCCCAGCACTACAAGATGTTGTGTGCTCATTCCTTCAGACAACACACACACACACACACAAAACCCCATACCGCAGAGACCCTTTTCCCAACTTTCCCAGCACAAACTCTGGATTTTTCCCACCTCACCCATCCCTAAAGTCGGGACTTCCACTGACCTCACTGAGAGGCAAGTCGTGCTCTTCCTCCTTCAGGAAGTCAATGTCTCGGGATGAGATAATCCCCACCAGCCGGCTGCCCATCTTCCCATTGTCTGTGATGGGGATACCGCAGAACCCATGTCTGGCTTTCGCTTCGAAGACGTCTCGGACTCTGTCTTTGGGGCTCAGAACTACAGGGTCTGTGATGAATCCTTGTTCGTATTTCTGAAGCAAAGCACATTCGGGAGGGGGAAAAAGGGAAAAAATATCATTTGGAACACCAGAATAAGGGGGGGGGGGGGTAGGAGTGAGGAGATGGTCAAGTAGCCCTTCCCCCAAGCAATGGGCCTCCAGGACTGCAGCAGTCTAGGACTGGGGCTTTCAAACATGGTTAAGAACTTAGCTACAAAGCAGCTTCCTAGACTCTGAAGTTCAGTGCAGAGACAGGAGTGCAGCAATGTGGCCAGGAAAAAGTGGACAGGAAACCAGATGTGCACAGCTTGTTAGCTAGTAGAGGCCGAAGCACCCTGCCTGAATGTACTGAAGCTATGAATATTAGCCAGGGTTGATGCTAACCACACTCAGCACACCCTAAGAAAAATGGCTTTAGGGATTCTAAGAAGAAAAACCACAGGCTTCAAACCCTGGTTAGCATTAACCACGGTTAACTTAGGAGTGGTGCCGCTGTAGCTATTAATCATAAATAGGGCTAGTGGGCATGGGAGAAGACTCCTGAATGGGAGGGTCTTGGAGGAAGCAGGATGCAATCTCAGAGCCTGCTTCTAATATTTTACTCATGGTGAAGGAACAGACAACTGTTATGTCTACACCAGCCATATGCTGCGTTGGATGTGGTACAAAATTTCAACTTGTGCTACAGCTCTTGCAAAAGCACAAGAAAACGACCATGGTAAGTCAATCTTATTGTATCCTTCCTTGCATTTCTGCAAGATCTTGTGCATCCAATTTCTGAGCACTATAACATACAGGGAGGAACGTATTAGGTGTTGTGCAAGATCTTGTGCAAGCGGAACTGTGCTAACACCATTTATGTTTCCACTTGTGCACGGCTGGATTCCAGGCATTTCTTTACACATATGACTTTGCCACCTTGACCCTTCTCCCCAACAATACTTGCTTAAACATTTCTCAGAATGTTGACCTTTACCTTAACTTTTCGTACTTCATTGGCCTGGAATTCTGGGGTGCAGTTATGGTGAATGAATCCGATCCCACCTGTGAGCTGAAAATATACAGAAGGAAAGTTTTTGCACAAAATGGTTCCACTTTAAGGAACGACACAGCTAAGGATGGATAGGGTAGAACTGAAAAGACTGGTCGACTGGTAGGGATGAAACAAAAGTAGAGTTGGAAGAGGCTACAGTTACTCCGGCTAACATTTCTCTATTAGCTAATAGCACTAAACTCTGTACGGAACATATGAACACAGCATGGAAAAATACCTCAGAAGAATATGCAAAGGCTCAGCTTTTAGCCGTGGTTTGTTCCAACTGGAGTCCCTCGGCATATGCAGTTTATGGAGAAATTAGAGGAGGAAAACACATTTTTATAAGTCCGTATACCACGATGCTTCATCACATTAGAAAGCCTCTCATTCCAAATGATATTTCTGAGCATTCTCAACTAGTGTGAAGACTTTTTTCCCCCCTACCAGGGATTTTTAATTTTGATTGCCTTGAATGGTTCCCCCTCACAGAGGCAGGATAGAAATTCATAGATGATAAAGAGCCCAGAGAGCTCAAAATTCACAGCAGATCGACAAGACTGGACAGGAAACTCAGAAATGGACAAACATAGGGTTAGGATACAGCAGAGAGGAGAATAAAGTGGTTGTGAAACCACAGGTAAGGCAAGGCTGAGGTGGTTCAAGAAAGACAACATCAGACCTGGGTTTAAATTCCACATGCCGCCATCCAGCCTCCCTGAGTCCATCATGCTTTCAGCCCAACCTACTTCACAGGGTGGTTCTGAGGTTAAAATGCAAAACGATAAAAATCACTCGTGGGCAGTGTTCCCTCTAAGCTGAGTTAGTGTAAGCTAGCTCACAGTTTTTTAGCCTCCGGCTCACATTTTTGTCTTGGCTCAGGAAGGATGGGTCCAGAGCAAACTAATTTATGCAGCAGCCAAATCACCTGCTCACAACTTTCATGCCAGTAGCTCACAAAGTAGAACTTTTGCTCACAAGGCTCCACAGCTTAGAGGGAACATTGCGAGTCGTGAGTGCCGAGGTCCACAGAGGAAAGGCAGGATGGAATGCCAGACACTGAATGAACAGAGTGAGGCAGTCTGGGAAGGGGATGTTCACACGCGGCCAGTGCAGAAGGAACAGTGACAGGAGTGGGTAGCAAAAGGAGGGCTGACAGAAGGAAAACCGGCACACACTGAGTGGGAAGTGTGACCAAGGGGAGTGTATGCGAGGAGATCCAAAGTGCTTTAAATAGTGTCAGAAGCTTATTTCTTCAAGCGAGAAGCCTGAAAGACGAGCCATCCAGTCCTACCCACTAGCACAGAGGCATCCCCGAGTTTCAACAAACCCTAGTTGTGTTAATCCAGATCTCCTGTGAGGCCAGCAGGAAAGAAGATTTTGTATTATCAGTGATTATCAGAATGGGACAGCCACCTGTGTCCAAGCATCCACATACAGAAGAACTAACTCAAAAGGAGTTTTGCCACATTACTGTCTATGCCTGCGGCCCCTGCTGATCCCTGAAAATACCACTCCCAGGAGCTCAGCGCCCATGTGGAAGAACAGTCATGAGAGTTGGGGGAGCGGAAGAAAGAAAGGACAAGGGAATGAAAGCACCCCTTTCCCTCTGCGCAGATGCACGTGTGGAGGAAGGAGGGGTGTGACGGACTGCACGGAAAAGCAGGCTTTTTAAAATGCTGTTTGTGTCAGAGAGTCAGGGAGGTTAGGAGTTGATCTTTCCTGGAGAGAAGAGCTTATGTGATTGGCTGCTCTGCTCACTCTCTGATTGGCCAACATCAGCTGAGAGCGGAAATAAAACAGCTGATCTGGAGGGAAAAGAGGTCTTTCGCCAGTTTTGGTCTTGGTCTGAAATCTAATGTCTGAATCAGTAGCCAGAGGGGTTGGCTTCTGAGGAAAGAGACATTTGACAGGCAACAATCAGAAAAGTATTTCTACAGAGAAAAGAGAAATCCCATTGTCTTAAATATATTAACACTGCCCCAAGGGAGACCTTAGATTCTCAGTCAAGAAAGCTACAGAACAGCCTTATACAGACAAAGGATACTGGAGAAGGATTTGGCAGAAGGTCTGGGTAGTTAGAGTGAACTCCCATGCAAGCCAAATAGTAAAAGGAGTTATTGCTTCATAGGGACAAGGAGAATAACTTCCTGCCAGTTAAAAGGTTTGGGAAGAGAACCTTGGTATGTGATAAAAGGGAGAAGCTTAGACACCTCAAGAGTTAATGAAAAGCTGTAATAGCTAAAGGAAAACCTAGAACTCTGAAGGAAGAAATCTAGAAACTTTAAGCAAATGCTGTCCTCCAGAAGAAACATTAATAAGAACTGTGTTAGTGCTGAAATATACTAACCAAAGTACCTCTCAAAGCAAGAACTAAAGAACTTTGAATCAAAACTACAAATACACTTTCTTGAATGTTCTAATAATTCAACTCTGTATATATTAGAAAGTTTTTACCTAAGCAGTCTCAAAACCTTGACTACCCCTATTATATATATTCTCTGCCTGTTCAATAAAATATTATTTCTGTTTTGAAAGTTACTTTGCCTCAAGTGCCATTTCATAAGGGTTTATAAAAGAGGACAGCTCCTGTCTTTTCCTCAAGTTCCTGTACTGGATCTAAAGCCTAAACCAATATATAAACAAAAAGTGGGACAGTTTAAAGTTTATATCAATAGAGAAGATATACAAGCTACTGTAAGGCAACTCAGACACTAAGGGGAACTGAAGTTTTGGTGGGAAAAATCTGCCAGAAAGTTGGGGAGCTACATTTTTTCATCATAAGGGGCTACAGATCTTACCCCCTCGCCCCTCATCACTCTAGACCTCCCCCCCCCCCCAACTTCCCCCCCCAACTTATGCAGCCTTTCCTCTGCACAGGTCCAACAGCTCTGGGAATGATCTTGTCAGAAAGGACTGCAAGGACAAAGAACATAGTAAAATGGTGCATTCTATATTTGGATGGACTTGGGACAGACCAGCAAAGCTTCCCTCTGCAGACACACCACTGAACTGAAAGAAAGCTTTTGATAAAGTTGACTTCCAGAAAGCTTTTGATAAAGTTCCTCATCAAAGGCTCCTAAGTAAGCTAAAAAATCATGGGATAAAAGGACTTGTTCATTAATGATTTGGAGATGGGAGTAAGCAGTGAAGTGGCTAAATTTGCGGATGATACAAAGTTGTTCAGGGTGGTGAAAACCAGTGAGGATTGTGAGGCACTCCAAAGGGATCTGTCAAAGTTGGGCGAGTGGGCGTCAACATGGCAAATGGGGTTCAATGTGGCCAAGTGCAAGGTGATGCACATTGGAGCCAAAAATCCTAACTATAAATACACGTTGATGGGGTCTGAACTGGCAGAGACAGATCAAGAGAGAGATCTTGGAGTTGTAGTAGATAACTCACTGAAAATGTCGAGACAGTGTGTGACTGCAATAAAGAAGGCCAATGCTATGCTGGGGATTATTAGGAAGGGTATTGAAAACAGATCAGCCAATATAATAATGCCCCTATATAAATCAATGGTGAGACCTCATTTGGAATACTGTGTGCAATTCTGGTCACCACACCTTAAAAAGGATATTATAGCTTTGGAAAAAGTGCAGAAAAGGGCAACTCGAATGATAAAAGGGTTGGAACACTTTCCCTATGAGGAAAGGTTAAGGCCCTTAGGGCTCTTTAGCTTGGAGAAACGACGACTGAGGGGTGACATGATTGAGGTTTATAAGATTATGCATGGGAAAGAGCAGGTAGAGAAAGAGGTACTTTTCTCCCTTTCTCACAATACAAGAACTCGTGGGCACTCCATGAAATTGCTGAGCGGTCGGGTTAGAACGGATAAAAGAAAGTACTTCTTCACCCAAAGAGTGATTAACACTTGGAATTCACTGCCACAGGAAGTGGCGGCGGCTACAAGCATGGATGGCTTCAATAGGGAATTAGATAAGCATATGGAGCAGAGGTCCATCAGTGGCTATTAGCCACAAGGTATAGATAGGGACTCTGGGGCAAGTGATGCTCTGTCATCTTGGTGCTTGGGGGGGGTCAACTGTGGGATGGCTTCTAATGTCCTGGCCCCACTGGTGGACCTCCTGATGGCACTGGTATTTCTGGCCACTGTGTGATACAGAGTGTTGGACTGGATGGGCCTTTGGCCTGATCCAACATTGGCATCTCTTATGTTCTTATGTTCTTATGAAAGGCTTATTAAAGCAATCATCTGTTTTGTAAACACGATTCAGTGACGAAAAATAAGACGGCCCTGATTTTTCTGCAGGCAAATAGCTAGGATACAAAGATGGATTCCCCCCTCCCCCACCCTACATTGGATGAATTTTATCTTTTTATCAAATTTATATCCCGCTCCCTCTCTCCCAAACAGGACTTGGGGTGGCTAACAGCATATAAAATACACCCAATAAAAACAATACAAAGATACAATAAATAATCTTTAAAATATAAAACGATTAATAATCTATCCCCATTAAATCCCACACACACACACACACTTCTGTGCCAGATTACTTACCGCCATCGCAATGGCCATGCTGGCCTCTGTTACAGTGTCCATAGGGGAGGATACCAACGGAGTCTTCAAAGTTATCTTCTTGGTCAGAGCAGAAGTCAGGTCCTTAAAATAAACACAAAGTCTGGGCTACAGCAGCATTTCACCTAATTTATTTCCAAGTATTCTCCCATCGTATTTCCATAATCTTAGCAACCATGGGGTTTAGATTTTTTCGTTTTTCAATAGGTAAGATGATATTTTTAGGATTCCAGGGCATGGACTACTCTCAGCTGTGCCCAAGAACCTCACAGAAGGGAGTTGGAAATCTAAAAAGCGCTGAAAGTTGCTCAGTGACTACTGTAAAGATGGCCAAAGAGAAAGGAATCTTTTGCAGAGAAGGAAACATGTTTTTCGCCATAATGGTTTTTTTTTTTACATATTATAAAAATTAGCCTCATACTCACCACTTGGTCTGCAGTGAAGTCTATGTAGCCAGGGAGTATAAGGAAGTCACTGAATGAAGGAGAAAGAAGACAGAATGTGTCACTGTGCATTTAAATACCAAGCTTCACGAACTAAAAGTACTTCATCCTCGCAGCAACCTTGAAAGACAATCAATATTATTCCCATGTGAGCCTCAAAGAGAGTCAGCACAGTATAGCGGTTAGAGTGTAAGACCAGGATCTGGGAGACCCAGGTTCCAATCCCCACTCTGCAATGGGAGCTTGCTGGGTGACCTTGGGCTGGTCACTTGCTCTCTACCTCAGCCACCTCAGGGTTATTGTTGCAAGGATAAAATGGAGAAGGGGGGAGCAATGTTGCCAGCTGCTTTGGACGGGAAAACAGGGAATAAATATATATAAATAGGTAAATAAATGGACAGTGTCTACTGAAGGACAGAGACAATCTAAACCCAAATTGTCTGGGTTAATCTAATTACTGACTCCATCAGCTCTCATCCAATCGGCCTCCAGTTTGGAACCGTGCCCTTCACACTAGGGACAAAGCCGTAACTCCTGCCTTCCCCCTATGAGATACACAAGAGCTGGTATGCAAAGATGGCACCTGCCACAGAAAGTAAATAGAAAAGCAACAGAAGAGTGGAAGTGTACCAAATACCTGGGCTCCACAAGCATGCCCCAGAATCCAAAAATTAGAAAGGATACTTTGCAGCGCACCTGATCCAGGGCCTAACAACAGATTAGGTTTTCCATGAGGATTGCTCTTGGGTTTGGTGGGTCGGTGTGCTCTGAATTTCCATGCTTCTCAGGTGTGTGCAGGCCCAAATTGGCTTGGGACCATGGCGTGCACCCCCCTGCCCCCACATTATCTTCTCAACCTAAAACAGCCCACGGGACGCTATTCGGTCATGGTGGAAATAACATGTAGCTCATCAGTACATGCGCGACCCCCTATAGGGCATCTGGCACCCCCTGGGAGCCTCTTCAGACTGGAAAAATGGCACAGAGGAGGAAAGGTTTAAGCCCCGGCTCTCCATGGCAGTGACTGAATGAGCTTCTGCAGAGTACCTTTCCTGACCACTGAATGAATGCAACTAGAGCACACAAACACACACCCAGGATGGCTGTAGAGAGACCGTGCTTGTAGGGGGCCGGTTCTTGCACCAATCACTTCCTACTTGCTCACCTTGCCAATGCCTGGACTTTTTGATTTCCTTTTCCCTTTTAGGACAGAGATCAGAGCCTAGTGGTAAAACACTTGTCATGGGAGAAAGGTCCCAGCCACCTCTGTAGTAGGGAAGTTTAGTTTAGACCCTAGTTTAGTTGGCTTTTATTTATTAAAAAAAAGGATCAGACAAAGTCTTGGAGAAGGAGGCCATCAATGCAATGACTAAGCGGCATTCCCATATACAGAGGCGACCCTCTGAATCCCAGTGCGGAGCAACAGCAGCAGCAGGCGGGCTTGTAGACCTTCTGAAAGCATCTAGGTGGCCACTAAGTGAAAGAGGGTGCAGATCTGATACAGCACAGCTGCTCTTCCGTCCTGTTTAAAAGCCTCTCAGGTAACAGGGCTGAAGAAATCTCTGTTCTAGGTACTTAGGAGAGTCACAGTAGTCATAGTCAGGCTTCGTAGACCTATGACAAAAATGAAATCCCCGTAACACCTATTAGGACCAACCAAATGGACACAAGTTACAGACCTATGGTGTGACTCTGTAAAAGGCAACTTCATGTACAAGGACGTATATATTTTAGCATAAGGCACTTCTGATTTTTATAAATTGAACACTGAATGCCACCCAATCTCTAAACCATCCAGCTTTTTTGTTTTTTTGGAAAACCTTCAAGGAAGGGCAGTTGTGAAATTGTCCCACAGGAAGTGTTCGTTGATGTTTAACCCAAACCCTGTCCTTAACTTGGATACCTGCCAGAATAACCAGCCACAACCTTCCCTTCTCAACCAATTATTCCTCAATCCACAGATATTAGCCATGTTAGCTAAACAGAGAGAGGATCCATGAATATCAGGCACAGGAGGAGGGGGGGGGGGCTTCAAGCAAGCTTGAATCGTGTTAGAAACAGAACGTTGAACAAGGGGGGCCCTTGGTGTGACCCCAGCAGCACAGTTCTTACATTCCCTCCTGATGCATGAGTCATGTCATCAACACAGTGATCTAATTTACATTTCTCTTTAGGTGTCATGTTTTAAAATGCCATTATCCTAGCTGGAATAACACAACTGGATGGGTTAAAAGTTAAACAACTTCCTGCAATTCAATCCGATGTATTTTTCTCACAAAGTGAACTTGAGCTATATATTAAAAGCTTGTTGGGAAAACCCTGGCCAACTAGATGACACTGGAAACCTTCTAAGCACAAAAATGGTTCCCCCAAAAGACACGGTAAGAATGTAAGATGAGTCCTACCGGAACAGACCAGTGGTTCATCTAGTTCAGGATCCTGTTTCATAAAGCAGCCAACCAGTTTCCCTGGAAGGCCAACAAAACAGGGAGCAGAGGCCAAGGCTTTTTCACTGGTGTTGCGTCCTAGTACTGGTATTCCAAGTTTTACTGCTGGAGGTTCCCTTTGGTCACCATGGCTAGTCCCCAGTTTCTGACTCTACATGGGCTTGCCTTTGAAGAAACCCCCAAAACTTCTATTCATTCAAAACATGGTTGCCAGAATTCTCACTCAAGCCCGCTGCAGGCATCGTGTATCACAATGCTTGGCCTGATTGCTCAGGTTGCCATATTGGGCTTCCAGACCCAATTCAGAACCCCAGTCATTGACTTTTAAAGTCCTAAGCAGCTTGGGAACAGGGTACTCAAAGGACCTCTTCCATTCATGTAAATGTATTAATGCTTTGAAACTGGCTTGGGATGCCATCCTCCACATGCCAATGGTAGCTGAAGTGAGGATGGTGGGTACATAGTCAGGGCTTCTTCAGCATTAGTCCCCAAACTGTGGAATTCCCTATTCCTTCCGGCTCCTCAGGCCCCCTCCCTCAAGACCAGTAAAGGGGTTCGGGTTTTTTGGTGAGTGTGTGCATTCCAGAAGGTTCTAAGTGTTTTCTCCCCTCAGATACTGATGTTTAAACCTGCGCAACTGGTAGTTTTCACCAGTGATTTTATACTGCAAATTGTTATTGGCACTTATTAGTTTTAAGTTTTTTTATTATAAACGACTGCTGTTTCAGCAGTGTTTTGAGGCTGCTGCTTTCTTTAGTTTATTTTTATGCTTTTAAAATCTTGTTGGTTGTTTTTGCTGATATTCAGAGTTATGCTAATTCTGAGCATTGTTTTTTTTTTCTATTTACTAAGCCCTTTTTATTATCCAGCAATTGGTCTAATCCCAATCACTTCCCTGACTCCTGTTGAAGCATTTGGAAGGTATCTGTTCACCTCCCACACTTTCTCCTTATAAAAGAAAAAAATATTGTTTACTTTGCCCTCATAACCTGCATTTGTTGCTGTAGTTTAAAAATTAGAAAGAAAGATAGCCCTTAAAAAGTTTACAAGCATGTCTGAAATCTCTGGAAGAGAGAATCCAGTATTTAGGAGACAACTCTTCACTAGACTGAAGGAACAACATTTCATCTATCTGTGCCCTCAGGATCTTTTCCTCTTGAAACACTACTACAGATTTGGCCCTGTTAGTATTGGGTAGGGTGCCACTCCTAGCTCTGGCTGCATTCAGATAACCCGCCAAGCCAACTTTAAGTCTGAATGTGCACAAATCCAGTTTGCTGCTGCACGTGCACACACATCTTGCCCCCCCCTTCCACAGGCAATGTAAAAGTAACACCACTTTTTCTGACATACAAACGCAGGTACACAGCTTAATCTCAACAAACCAGGAATCTAAACCAGGATTTCATTCAGGTTTACTAACTCCAGTTAACCTGTGTGTCTGCGTTCTACATCATGTGTGACCAGGATTCCGTCATCATGCTGTGCACAAGAAGGAATGACTGTGTGGATCACAGTAAAAAGCAGGGCTCTTTCACATCTCAAGCCTGCTTGACCGGATGTTTGAACTCAGTCTCCAGAATCATGATGAGGTATGAGGCTGTCAGAAGGAGAGAGAAGTTATCGTTGTAAACAATGCCAAACACCCCTTTTCTTCCACTGTATACTTTATAGCACGCATCACTAGGCAGAAGACAACAAACCCTCCTAAGGAATTTACTTTTCAGCGGCAAAGTTTGTTTCTGAACAGAAACGGTTTATTTATAAGCGGCTTCCCTCTCAGGAGGGGGTGGGTGCTGGTAAAGAGTGAGTCTGCTGTGATCTCTGCTGTAAGAACTATTTCCAGAGCGTGGCTCACAGGGCACATTGAGGGCATGCCTGCTGGGGATGAGCTGGTGAAGTATATACAAATGCATTGCACAATGCTCCTCCCCCCTCTTGAGATCATCTGGGATCACATGAATCTCCATCTGCGGAGAGACTGGCAGGGGTGACAGCCATAAGGCAGACACGGCTAACCACTTCTATCTAAAGACGAGATGTCATGAACCACAGCTGTTCAGAGAACAGAAAAGGAGATCATACCCTACCGCTTACAGGTTCTTACGCAAGACTACATGTCTTTTTGCAAAAAGAACTTTGTCTGAACGTGCGCCAACTGGCCACACAGACTGACAGGTGTGGATCACACAGATCAGTGTGATCAGAAAGATTATGTCAAATGGAGCCCCCGGTCTATAGTTCGTCATCACCGGCAAAGGTAATCTGGACAACACAAAAGGGAGTTAATGAAATAATCTGGGTTTGCCAGATCAAAACTTAAAACAAAGGCCCTATAATGCCCTGCCAGGTTGGTTGTAGACTCTCGGGAAAGACTGCTCATCACTACAGATACCCAAGACAGGAGAGGTGATTATACAATGAGAAAAGACAAAGGACTACGGAGCAGAAAGGATTCTGATCAAGGGAGTCATTTGGATGAGAAGGATACCTAGCCCATGCAGCACCAAGATACAATAGTCCAAGGGACAGAATTTATCACCCTATAGTCTTCTGGGATAGTTTCAGTTCACCCAGGAAAGTAAAGGGGAATCTGGACTTCAGTCTGGGGAAAAGGCGACTCTACAGAGTTTTGCAAAAGTGTTCAGGGGGACAAGGGGGAAAGGACTACACCATCAATAATGGAACATGTTTGCAAAGGTAAGGTGTCTGTTCAACAAGGCTGCCAACCTCTGAAGTTTCAGAGTGAGGATCCTGGCTCTGCACAGAATGGAGGGCATTTTTCTTCACTGTGGAACTGGGATCAGCTGGATTTACACTTGCCAACAGATGGAGGGGGAAGAAGACTACGTGGCCGGAGGAGGGGGGGGGGAGATAAAAGTTTCAGAGTGTTTCTATAGATGAAGGCTTAGAAAAAGTATCTCAGCAGAGAGTGGGCTAAATAAGAATAGTCTCTCCGATATATCATCTTTCTACTCAGAAGTGAGTTTTCAAGAACAGGGTCTCCATCACATTGTCTCAAGAGGTACAGTCAATTCCTCCTCTGTGTCGCCTCGCCTCCTTTGGCAACTTGTCAATAGTTTCAGAGGGTAGTCAAGCTGATCTGCATTAAAATAGTTAATATTTGAGTCCAGTAGCACCTTAGAGACCAATGAGATTTTCAGGGTATACGTTTTTGAGAGTCAAAGCTCCTTTCCTCAGACACAGTAGAGTAGAAATGGAGGCCTGAGTTTTGTTTTTTTTAAATAGGGACAGAGGATTGTTATCTCACTACAGATGCTAATTTTCTGCCCCCCCCCACATTTCCCCTCTGCGCTAATCAATCTGATTACAATATCCATTGCACCTTTGCATCCTTTACAAGCATTCTCTCCAACAGCCCTCCCACCTTCTGTCTAGGAGAAAAAGACTCGTGGGCACCCAATGAAATTACTGAGCAGTCGAGTTAGACCAGATCAAAGGAAGTACTTCTTCACCCAAAGAGTGATTAACACATGGAATTCACTGCCACAGGAGGTGGTGGCAGCTACAAGCATGGATGGCTTCAAGAGAGAATTAGATAAGCATATGGAGCAGAGCTCCATCAGTGGCTTTTAGCCACAAGGTATAGATAGGAACGGTGGAGCTGCAGTGGCTCAAGTGGTTAAGACGCTGAACTGCAGGCTGTGGAAGGTCAGTAGTTCAGCAGTTCAAGACCCAGGTGCCGCAAGACGGAGTGAGCTCCCGTCTCTAGTTCCAGCTCCTGCCAACCTAGCAGTTCGAAAGCAAGAAATTGCAAGTAGATAAATAAGTACCACTTCGGTGGGAAGGTAACAGCGTTCTGTGCGCCTTGGTGTTTAGTCGTGCCGGCCACATGACCACAGAAACGTCTTCGGACAGTGCTGGCTCTTCGGCTTTGAAACGGAGATGAGCACCGCAACCCTAGAGTCGGATTCGACTGGCTTTCGAGCAAGGGAAACCTTTACCTTTACCTATAGATAGGAACAGGAGCTGTGGTGGCTCAAGTGGTTAAGACGCTGAACTTCGAGAGTGAGCTGCCATCTCTAGTTTAAACGTCTTCGTGTTTAGTCGTGCCGGCCACATGACCACAGAAACGTCTTCGGACAGTGCTGGCTCTTCGGCTTTGAAACGGAGATGAGCACCGCAACCCTAGAGTCGGATTCGACTGGCTTTCGAGCAAGGGAACCTTTACCTTTTTATAGATAGGAACTCTCAGTCTAGGGCAAGTGATGCACTGTATTCTTAGTGCTGGGGGGGGAACTGCTGGACCTCCTGATGGCACCTGGTATTTTTGGCCACTGTGTGACAGAGTGTTGGACTTGACAGGGCATTGGCCTGATCCAGCATTGGCTTCTCTTATGTTCTTAAGACTCAAATCTCCGTTTCTACTCATGTCTGACGAAGGGAGCGTTGGCTCTTGAGAGCTTACAGCCTGAAACGGTGGTTGATCTCTGTGCTACTGGACTCAAATCTAGTTGTGCAACATGTACAGACATCTTTTCATAACCACACAGTGTGAATTACCATCACTGGCTGGATGAATTCCTGTCCCCGGCAGACTCTATGCATGCAGCCGAATGAGCCCGAAGAATGGACAGCACCACTTCGAACAGCAGGTGGGGCACACCAACTTGGAACACCCCACATACGCACAAGCGTCAGTAAAGGAACGCATGGGGGGAGGGATTCGCTTTACCGTTTAACTTATCTATAAGTTAAGTCGGCTCCCCCCCCCAGAGCATTTTTAAAAAGCCTACCTTTAGCCTGAGATGGTTCAGCCCATTCTTTCTCAATTTTCCTACCACTGCGCTCTGCTGCATGCTTAGATCAAACCTAACCTTGACGCCTCAGGCTGACAGTAATAAACCAACACAACAGTTTATTACACGGGTGCTCCTTGAGGAGAAAAGCGGAGACGGACAAATACTTATACTGCGAGTTTCATACACATAGCACATACACTATATCCTGCCACCGATCCGCCACTCGCCGCTGCCCTCCAAATCCGGCACCGCGTGGAGGAGGCGGAGCAGCCAAACCGCCACCAGAACTACCCTCGTCAATCTCTCCTTACTTGTACGTGAGCCCGTCTCCGCAGTTGAGCATCTGCTGTGCCGTCAGCCCGTCGTCTGGAACGTAGCCAGTGCCGCCACTTATCAGGTAATCGGCCATGGTGGTGAAGCGCCCGAGCCCCGTCCGACCCCGGAGGAGGAGAGGAGAAGAGTGCGCGCGAGGCCCCCTCCCGCCGCGTAATCCTCTCTCTCTCGCGCGCAAAGCACACTGGACTACCTCAGCCGGCTGGCACGCGCAGGAGAGAGGGCGAGAGAGAAAGGAAGCGCGCCAGGCGGAAACCCGAAGAGGAGTCCAGCGGCAGCGCGGCAAAAAGAGGCAGACCAAGCCCCACCTCCTTGCCTTACGCAAAGCGCAGTGACCCTCCCCCTTCTGTCGACCGTCAGTCATCATGAAGTGTGGAGGGGAGACCTCATAAGGTGAACTTCCGGTTTGAAGAAATCGGAAGTCCGCCATTCGCCATGATTTACGGGAGGGCTGCAGAATGGAGCCGCTCTACCGTCTTATCAACCTCCGTGGTCCTGGATACTTGGCGTGGAAAGTTCCAAGGAACTCGGATAGCGAACGAGGCCCAGTCTAGCCTTTTTATCTTTTGACGGCTCGGCGGGAGGAAACGAACGGGACTCTGCTAAAGGGCTTTACTGAAACGCTAGATTTTGAGGAAGATTTGAGACGGCTTGACGCAGCGGCAGGACGGTGTTCGGGGAACCAAGCTTCTCTTCTGCCTGCAGATGGAAAAGCTGGCCTGGGGCGAAAGCCTCCCCCTGATGTTGCCTCCTGGCAGTGGCTGCCTCTGAACCAAGAGGTTCCTTTTAGTCACCGTGGCTAGTAACCACTGATAGTCCTGTCCCTCCGAAAATCTTATCTAATCCCCCTTTAAAGCAGTTTATTCCAGTGGCTATCACTACATCCTTTGGCAGTGAATTCCACATTTTAATCACTCTGTGTAAAGAAGTATTTCCTTTTGTTTATTCTGAACCTACTGCCCCATCAGCTTCATTGGATGCCCTCAAGTTCAACTGCCACCACAGCACAAGGATCTTTACTGAGTGATTGAAAGTAAGCTGCAAGAGCCATTTCATGGCTGGCTCCACCTGCCATTTTGTGGCTACTACCCACCACTGTCTCAAAATTCCAAAGGTGCCTGCAGGCTCGAAAAGTCTGGGGACTAGACTTGGTATTATTACTGGATAAACAAGTTAAACACAATTGCATAAAAATACTTTCTTCCATATTCATTTAGCCCAGACGGTGCCTCCTTTACTCTGACTTGGGCAATCTCAGTCTGAATGTGCCAAATTAACCTCAAGGCTAGACTACTGTAATACACTCTACAGGTGCCTGATATTAGAGGTGCAACTCAATTGCTATCAGGAGCTAGGTGGAGCATGCATATCACACCAATACTTCAGTCATTCCATTGAATGCTGGTTTACAAACCCATTCATGGCCTCGGACTTACATACCTGCTGGACTGCCTCTCCCACGGTGGTCCACCACGAGCGTCACTCACCTAACCAAAGCCCTCCAAAAGTGCCACTCTTCAAATGGGTAAGATCAGCAATAAGCCCATACAAGTGCATTCTCTTGTGGCAACCACCTTGTCAAACAGCCTGAGATCATGAACGCCCCCACACTATCATTTTGCAGAATGTGCAAAGCAGAAGTGTTCAGAAAGATGATTTTACAAAGGGACAGAACTGTAGTATAATGGATTTTGGAGGATGCTTCTATAAGAAATAAGATTGTAGTGTATTGCAATACTTATTGCACATGTATCACCTTGCTTTTACCGCATGGGCTTCTTCCTTTGTAATCCACTCTGTTAGAGCATGTGATTCCTTAAGAGGATTTTTTTGTTTGCAGTTTTCTAAATCAGCGTTGTTTACTGGATGTCTTATACTGCCTCATTGCATTGTTTTTTATATTTTGTAGTTCACCCTAAGTCTCAGCAAGGAAAGTGGGCTATAAATTAAATACTTCCCCTTTGTTATTTGAGGGGGATTGAGCTGGCATCAGTACATAGCAGCAGCATGAAGGTAATTATCTGCTATCCAACCCCCCCATACAATATATTTCCAAGAAAAAATATTCTCACTTTGCTTGAAGCAAATACCATTAATATTCTCTTGCTGCCTCATAGGTCTGTTCCACTGTTGACACAAAAAACCTGGATCTTATAAGTATTCGGGATCTTATAAGCAATGCTCCCTCTAAGCTGTGGAGTCTTGTGAGCAAAAAAAATCCACTTTGTGAGCTACTGGCATTACAGTTGTGAGCAAGCGATTTGGCTACTGCATACATTCGTTTGCTCTGGAGCCATCCTTCCTGAGCTAAGACAAAAATGTGTGGGCCAGAGACTAAAAAACTGTGAGCTAGCTCACACTAACTCAGCTTAGAGGGAACATTGCTTATAAGCATTCTTTCGTCATATAAAGCTCCTTTTCCAAGGTAGCTGGCTGGTAACAAACGTAGCTGCCCTCTACTGCAACCTAACTGTAACTGCAGCCTTCGTATATATACTACAGAAAAAAGCATGAGCACTGGACTACTATTTAGTTTAGGAAAATTTATACTAGGGTGACATCCTAGTAATTGGTCAAAAAACTGATGCAAAATCAAGTCTTCCAGCAGAATGGCGTTTTCAGAGACTGAGTTGACTTTACCAGTTCCAAAAGCATGACAATGATTCAGTTTCAAGAATATGATTCTGACACTATTACTGGACGGTTTCCAAAAGTTTGGTGGTTAGGAGCAGTAAGTGACAAGCAAAGACAGGATAAACAGGTTACCTGTAACTGATGATCTTCGAGTGGTCATCTGTGCATTCACACCCATGGGATCTAGTGCGCACGCACTGGATCGATCGGCATTGTAGCAAGCTCTTTTAATGGATTTTTGTGCCCAGACCTCGGGCATGCCCAGGAACCTCACCGCACATGCCCAGAGGGGAGGGCGCGGACATCCCGCCAGTTCCTTCGAACAGCCGCAAATCAACCCCTATTGAAAATGTAGGTGGGCAGTAGGGGAAGGAGGACAGGTGGTGTAAATGCATAGATGACCACTCGAAGACCATCAGTTACAGGTAAGCAACCTGTTTATCTTCGACGTGGTCTCTGTGCTTCACACCCATGGGACATTAGCGAGCAGTGGCCTACCTGGAGGAGGGTGCTGGCAGGTCCTTACTGCGTCGCCGAAGATAGAATGTGACGTCCCATGTTGGTATTAGAGTTCTTACAGACGTCCAGGGCGTAATGCCTCATGAAGGTGTTAGGCGTGGCCCAGGTAGCAGCCTTGCAGATGTCCATCAGGGGCACTCCCTGGAGGAAGGCAGTGGAAGCCCAGGTTGAATGGGTCTTGATGGGGCCAGGCAACGGCTGCTTTGCAATCAAGTAGCAGAGGTGGATGAGACCCGCAATCCACTTTGAGAGGCGTTGAGCCGTGATGTGAGTCCCCAGCCTCGCTGGTGTGTATGAGACAAACAGTTGGGAGTCATGTCTCGTTGGGCGGGTTCTGTTGAGGTAGAACAGTAGTGCCCTTTTGACATCCAAGGTATGTAACAGTCTGTCTTCTGGGGATTTCGGAGCTCGGAAGAAATCCGGAAGACCTCTGCCTGTAGGTGGAACTCTGACACTACCTTTGGCAGGAACGAGACGTCAGGGACGAGGTGGACGCCATCTGGCAAGAATGACAAATAAGGCATTTCATCCCGGAAAGCCAGTATTTCTCCAACTTGCCTTGCAGAGGTGATGGCCACTAGAAAGGCCGTCTTCCAAGACAGGAATTTCATATCGCAAGTTGCGAGTGGCTCAAAGGGTTTCCTCGTAAGTTGACGAAGGACTAGAGGAAGATCCCAGGGAACGACAGGAGTCTTGACAGGAGAGTAGAGGTGTAACAAACCTTTTAAAAAACGTTTTGAAAGTGGATGTGAAAACATGGTGCATCCGTCGACGTGAACATGGTAGGCCGAAATTGCGGCCAAATAAACTTTTAACGATGAATGGGAAAGTCCTGAGTTACCTAGGGACAGGAGGAATTGGAAAACTTTCTCGAGGCCTGCGGAGGAGGCTCGAGGGGCATCATCACCTAGGGAAGAACAGAATCGTTGCCATTTATAATGGTAGGACCTTTGCGTAGCAGGTTTCCTGGCCTTCAATAGAACATTGGCTACGTGGGTCGAAAAACCTTTACCATTATTCTCCACGCCGTCAATTTCAAGCGTGGTACATTGTGATGTAGGAGAGGGGAGTCTGACAGGAAGAGGAGGTCCTGTACCGGAGGGAATTGGTGGTACATTCCCCTTGACAACTCGACCGTCGAGAACCATGGTTGACTCGGCCACCATGGTGTTATCAACATGCAGTCCGCTCCGTCTCGGATGATCTTGCGTACCACTCTCAGAAGTAGGGGTAAAGGAGGGAAAAGGTACAGAAGGCCGGAGGACCAAGGAAGAAGGAGACCGTCTCCGAGCGATTGTGAGTCCCTGCCACCTCGACTGCAGAACGGGACTTTTTTTGTTGGCTCTGGTGGCAAAGACAGATCCCCACCTGTAAGAGCGGGAAAAGATGGGACAGGTTCATCTCCCACTCGTGGAAACTGAGCCTTGCTCGATTTAAATGATCTGCCTGCACAGGTGACCTGGGATGTGTGTGGCTACGAAAAAGATGTCGTGGGCGATGCAAAAGTCCCATAACTGAATGGCGAGGTTGCAGAGATGTAGGGAGACCGTGCCTCCTTGTTTGTTCATATAACTGAGCGCGGTGGTATTGTCCGTGAGGACCGTAATACATTTCCCTTTGATTATTGGTAGGAAACTCGTGACCGCGAACTGAATTGCGAGCAGTTCCAGGAAGTTTATGTGTCGACCTTGCTCGTGGGTGTTCCACTTGCCCCCGATGCACAGACCAATCATGTGTGCACCCCATCCCGACAGGAAAGCATCCGTGGTCAGGCATTTTCAGTTTGGCAAAGATGAGAACTGATGTAGTTGCAGCCATAAGGCCAAGTAGCCTTTGGACTTGGAAGGCAGTGACAGAAGGGTGGCTACGGACGACGGTGGCTAAGCAAATGATGACTGCCGCTCTGTCTTGAGGCAGGTAAGCCATGCATGTTGTGGAGTCTAGTATAGTGTCGATGTACTTTATTCTTTGGACTGGACTTAATTGAGACTTTTCTCGATTGACTTGTAGGCCCAGATTTTTTAGTAGTGCCAGTGTCTCGGTGATGTTTGAGACCAGGGCGTTCTGGGAAGGCGCTACCAAAAGCCAATCGTCAATATGCGGGTAAATGGAGATACCTCGGAGACGAAGGAAAGCCGCAACCACAATAATA